GTTTATAAATCCAAAAGATATCTTCTTTACAAGTAAGATAGGAGCTCTTGTTGGAGATTTTGAATGGTGTATGAAGTTCTTTGTCAAATTTTCATCAATGTATTCATTGACTACAGTCAACTCATTTTGAAATAAGCTGTAGATTGATCCAAATGGTGATTGACCTCCTTCTTACAAATCAATGGAACAATCATACTATCCATGTTTTAGAAGAATATGTGCATTCTTTTTTTCAAAGATGTCCTAGAAAAATTGATACTAGTTAGAAATAATATTTGATGTCTTTCCACCATTAGAAATGGATGTGGCATATATAGCAAAAGATGATCCTTCTTTTGTTGCATGCATGAAAGCTCTTGCACCTACCAATAAAAGTTTGGACGCATTAGACTTACATATTTCTACTTGATTAATGGAATTTTGAATAAAATTAGAAGAAAAAATAAGTTTATAAGAAATTTAATCTTTTTGAGGTTATATATTTTTAATCATGATAATCTCAAAATAATTGAGTTGAAAAGAGATCTTATCGTATTAAATATTTTTATACTATTATGATATTTAATAATTATATTTAAAGAAAAAATCTCATAGATAATATCTCTAAAAGACACCAAACAACCATCTATGAGTTCTATATGTACAAATTTGATTTTCTTGATTAAATATATTTTTTTATTTTTTGATAAAATCTTTGTCTATGACATAGGTAGAGGCTTCTAAATCTAATAAAAAAGACTTTATGATTTTTAGGTCTTAAACATACATTTATGGTAAAATAAGGTGAGAGAACTAAGAAGAGAATAAAATCTTTATTAGGTGTTGCATATGATATGAGCCACATAATTCTTATTATAATTGAAGAAAATTATTTTCTGACAATTATTTTCTTTGGAAATTTTACTCTTTATTTTATAATTGTGTTGCTTCTTTGGACAATGTTAGCAATGTGTTTAGCTTCTCTACAATAGAAGCATAAATCTTCTTAATAATGTGAAGTATTTTCTTGCTCAATGAAAGATTTAAAATCTAGTACATCAATTTGCATTGATTTTGGTGTTAATAAATAGGTTTTGAAAGCTTAAGAGCTGCCATCATTACTTGAATTATTCCTCTCTTGCTAAAACTTTGTTTTTGACATCTTTTAAATAGTTAATTGTTACATGCAATAGCTTGAGCGATAAATTATTTTTAAAAATCTATTTTTGATATTATTATTAATAAATATTTGACATTATCCTATAATCTATATTAATATTAATTAATGAGGGCTTTTTCATTCCAATCCATGATGTGAAGCAAGGTTTTTGAATTCAATAGCAAATATGATGGCTGATCATAATCTTTGTTGTAAAAATAAGAGCTTAGTCTCTATTATTTTTTTTTTATCACTTTTTCTAAATTTAATCGTAAATACTTTTTAAAATATATTCAAATCATAAAAAAATCATGAATTCTTTTCTTTCAAAGATACAAACCAAAAGAGAGTACTTCTAAAAAAAAGACACTTATGAACCCAACTTAAATAAATCCATTGATGTATTAGAAAAGATTCAATCTTTAATAGAGCTTAACTTGTTATAAAAATCCTTGAAATTTTGATTTTGTTCCATCAAAATTCTTGAGCATACTAATCTTTGGCTCCCTTATGCTTATAAGAGCAAGAGTTTTTGAATTTAATTGTGTGGTTAATTTACTTATTTTTTTCAATTGCACAATTTTTTGGCATAGATTTTGAACTTCTTCTATAGGTATAGGAATGCTACTTCCATACTTAGTATTGGTGATACCTGAAATTTCCATCATAAGAGTGTAGACAAGCTCGTGAAGATTTGTAATAGTTACAAATCTATTCTCACTTTTGTGAAGTATAGCATCCATGATTTTTCTTTCTATTTCAATTAAGTTAGTAAATTCACTAGTCAAATTTGAAGAAGGTAATCCTTAATCTTTAACATCAAATAAAAGTTTCTACAAAAAATAATGATTTGCCATCTAAAAAAAAAATCAGTGTTAAAAAATTAAACTGTTTGTTTAAAGGTAGATAATCCACAACCTTCAAAACACAACAACAAAAGTGGGATAATCCACTCACTTCTAAAACAAGGCAAGAATAATGAGTTAGCACTCTTGATAAAATATCAAGGATATGAATCTCAAAGAAAGAATACTCAACATATGCTTATGTTACTCAAAAAGATTAGAAAGTTTTGAAATAAGACTAAAGACTAAAAAGGCATTGATAGGAATAAAGAAGACTACATTCTTGCGTCCATATATACTATCTAACTAGGAACTACACGACAATGTTCTATAGGACCTCCAACACATGTTGACTTTATGAAACATATATCTTAATTTACGAGGCAAGTTTTTTATATGTTAAATATGTGAAACATTATTATTTGTTATTTTTTAAAAATAAATTAAGAAATAAATATTAGAATAGACTATATAATAACTATTGACTACCATTGAATGAGAGCTTTCTTATTTGTTCAAATTGAATGTAACAAATGCATGCAATACTTATTTATATAAGAAATTCATTATAAAATTAAATTAAATTTATAATAATAATAATAATTATTATTAAATTATTTATATTTTATATAAATAAAATACATGGTCTTTGAATTTTTTTAAGTTTTTTTGAATAAATGTGTGTTATAATTTTATTTTATCTTTTTTGTGTAAAGATATTAATATTTATTTTAATACATTTAATTTTTTTGAAATATATTATATAATTAAATTCATTATAGTAGATTTTTATTTTAATAATATATTAAATATAAAAAATATAAAAATATTATTTAATAAATTTTAATATTATTTAATATCATTAAATAAATTTATTTATTTAATATTATTTTTTAAAATAAACTTATTAAATAATATTTAATAAATTTGTTTCAAAAAATCTATAAATAGTATTCTTACTTTGAATGAATCTAATTTTATATATTCTATAAATAATTATCAATAAAAATGAAATGTATCACTAAAAATGTCTATAGAGTGTATTTTACAAAAAACATTAAAATTTTGATTCTATCCAACATTTTCATAGTTATATGCTTCATCTTGTTCTAAAAACAAAAAACAAAACAAAACAAAACAAAAAAAAAAAATTAGTAAAAAAAAACAAATGTTTTAACATCAAAAACTTTACGCTAGTTTTTTTTATTTATATATTTGCACATGCACACGCATGTACATTAATAATTTGAAACAGACTTAGTTCAATCTTAGTTTTTGTTTGTATGGGAAAAGAGACTTGCTCCAATGCATTGAATTGATTATTAATAAAGGTGAAATAAACACAATTGCATATATAATGGGCAAAGAAATGTTAAATGTTCTTTGCTAACAAAAAAGAAGAAGAAGCTTGGAGCAAATCTTTATCTACAAACCTATATTTACATCTATATCTACACATTACAAATCTTCACCTATACATCTACAAGTTAGTTAGAACTTACTATAGTAACTCCACAATCCACACATCAAGTCTCTTTGAGGTGGGCATGGTGTAGCTAACAAGAACCAAAAGCATATTTTGTACCATGTACAAAAACTATCACAAGTAAAGTAACAAATAAACTTTTCTTTGACAATATTTATTTCTATTATTAAAAACATAAAAATCCGATATGAAGTGCCATGGTGAACATAGGTTTAGTGTCCATGACTATTATGTTCAAAACGTTTTAAGCCAGCGATTCATGTGATGTTCCATGTGTCTTGAAGGCTTGTATATGCACTACTACACATGCCCCACACATTTACCACACTCATTTAACAGAAGGAACTTGCAACTGACCTCAATGTACATTGCAGATACAAAAATGTAGGCCTGAGTTCACAGACTATCAATATCCTGGACTCACGTGAATCAAGAGGGATGGAATGCAGTTCAAAAAACTAAAAGTGGTGGGAGATATTGTAAAAAAACACTCTATGCAGTAATATCCTCATTTTACCTGCGGCGGCCGTCATGGTCTTGGCTGCTCGACCCAGACACCCATGGTGTCGTCGGTGATGATCGTGTTGAGTAATCCGGCGCAATCCAATGGTCAGCGTAAAACGCAGAGATGTACTTTTTAGATTATACTGGGATCTTCTCTTGTCCGCACACCCCTGCAAACTATTAAATCTCCCTCTTCCAAACCATCCCGATGAAAACCCAACGACTCTACAAACCACGGCTCAAAAATTTCATTAATAAGACACCTTGAAGTGGAGAATTTGCATTTCTAGACCGAACGAGTCATCCCGTTAAGTGGGTTGCAGATCTCGGCAGAAAAAATATGCTTCAGGAGAAAGAGCATCAGCTGCATGGCAAGGTCATAAGATTACATGAAGTACTCTACCAAGTTACAAAAATACTAGTACGGTTCTTGGGGAGATGGTAGTGATCTCTGTCACGAGGAGTAGCGATGATTCACTAAAAGACAAGGCCTAGGTGTAAACACGAAAGATGCTGAGACACGAACGTTTCCGCGGCAGAAATAGTGCATATTCTGCGATTCCCTGGGCGAAGGGGGCTGTTAAGGGTTTTTGGGGGTGTGAAAGAAATCCCCTTTATTCTGATGATGACCACGAGGCAAAACGAAGAATCAGATGATAGTATCTCCCTTACACACACACACTCGAATGTAGGTCATAAAGAAGGTAAATCTTTCATAATTGCTGCGACTTACCGACATTCGGACGATTTCGAATCCGACTAGAATGGCGTAATGTATGACGCAGAATCCCAAAATGCCGCACAGAAACACAGACCACGAGTATCGCGTAAATAACCCTCATGCAACCATGTCATAGCTTACAAATACACTCCTACGTGCAGAGCCACTTGGTAAATCTTGAAGGAGAGTTTGAAACCGTCCGCCCTAAACCGACCTCTAAAATCTTGAAATCTCCAAAGAACTTGTGCTTATCAAGTGGGGGGTTTTTTTTGTCAAATCCAGCTCAAGTATCCATCCACGAAAATGAACCTTCGAAAAATGAAGAAACCATGGCATTACTGCTGTAGAGAACAAATCGAAGAACTTCTCATTCATTGTGCCTCTTCTCATGACATTCGTCCTGAGTGTCACATATACCTCTAAACCCCGATGCGTCTGATTCATCTTCAACCTCTAATTCTACCGCACGTATAGCACCAGACCTAAATGCTCTGACCACATGTTGCTTGCCCTGGCCAAAACTGCCAAGACGTCCACACTAGAGCAAAATTCAGAGGGGAACATTAAGAATTCTATGCGGCCCCTAAAATCTCAAAACCAATATGAGATCCTCTTATTTCAAGAAGTGTTTCTTCATAAGCGAGAAGAAAGAAATTTATCAGTGGCCTTCCTCTTCGATGTACTGCTTGTAACTCTCAGCAGTCAGCAACGACTGAACCTCAGCGGGATCCTTGAGCTTGAGTTTCATCATCCAACCTTCCTCAAACGGACCCTTGTTCACCAATCCAGGCGACTCCGTGAGCTCACTGTTGACCTCCACAACCTCCCCGGACACAGGGGAATACACATCGCTCACGGCCTTGACACTCTCCACGCTCCCGAACGAGTCCCCCTGCGAGATCGCCTTCCCGACCTCCGGCAGATCCACGAACACCACATCGCCTAACGCCTCCTGCGCGTGGTGCGTGATCCCCACCACGGCGGTGTCGCCTTCCAGCCTCGTCCACTCATGCGACTTCGAGTATCGGAGGTTGTCCACCACTGTGGCCGTGGAGAAGCGTTGGAAGAAGGGAGCCATCGTCTGCCGAAATGCAGACGCCGATCGCACTGCCCAGGGACGAAGCAGCTGTTGCGCCATAACTCCCCCACTGCTCCCTCCTCCTCCTCAAATAACAACTACTACTACAACGTCTCCCTCTCTCTCTCTCTCACTCCAATCACAACAACAACCACAACAACAACACACTCACACACACAAAAGGGAGCCAGGCAGAGGCGCAGACACAGACAAAACAAACAAATAACCAAAGAGAATGAGAGACCACAATGACGGAGGAAGCAAGCACAGACAGAGAATGAAAGGAAAGAATGAGAGAATGGATGGATGGATTAATGAATGATCGGGAGGGAGGGAGGAGGAAGAAGAATATTTGAAATATATTTAAAATAGATATGTTGTACAAAAACAACGACTTTGATTCTCAAATGTTATTATACAATAGCTTAGCAACTTAAGTAAAAATTCACTGCATTTGGGTTTTTTAAGGGTAATAACTTTGATTGAGGATAAGATGGCAATTTGGTAAAATAAATGCATGGAAGAGTGATAAAAGTGTGATTGAATGTAAAGCATGTTTTTATTTTTATTTATTTTATTTTGAAAAAAATGAATGAAAAAATAATATTAAAATATTTTAACCATGTCATATAGACAATGTATACAAGGCACAGGCACAAATCAATTTTAGAGTGGTTTTGGGTGCAACGGTTATACAAAGATTCTAACAAATTGCAAAGGCAAATTCCATTTGGTGGAAGTTTTTTTTTATAGCTACATTACAAAAATTAGTGGCCCTTATCTAATTTTTTCTTAACTTAGTAAAAGTTTCTTGAAAGTTTTTTCAAGAAGTGTAGTAGTTTTTCTCTTTAGAACAGATTATAAGGTTAATATTTTTGACAAGGAGGTAGTACAAAAAAAAAATAGAATGCTTAATTAGTTATGTTAATATTGCATGTTTTGTAGAAAAATAACTTCTTTTATTTTATTTATATTTGCATTTTCAATGGCTACTTCAATTAGATAAAAAAATATTTTGATGCATAACGTTTTATTGAGATTTTATATAAAAAATAATACTTCTATCTAAAATATAAATATAGATATAGGTTTTATACAAAACTTAAATAAGATTAGATACATTCCAATCATAAAATATAAAATTTAATACAAAAGTGACAAAGAATCAAAAATTAATAAAATAGCTCAATCACTTAAAATTCTAACATGGATTATCCTCAAAGATTTACCAATTTTTTTTTGAAAGTGTTTGTACAAGTAATAGCCCAGAGGGATCAAATTTTGGAAGAGAGTCAACATAATGACAATTCAATAAAACCAAGACTTTGTATTATTCTTCTATTTCTATTAGATATATATATATATATATATATTGAGGATTATATAATATGATGCAAAGATATATATATATATATATAGATGCATATTTCTATTAAATAAATGATAGAAAATAGAAATAGAGATTATTAATCTAATAACTAACAAAAAGAATTATGGTATAGATTGACTATTTTAATCTATTAATTAGACCCAAATCTTGCTTAAATATATTTTCTTAAATTAAAAGGTACTTAAAAGAATTACTAAAAATATTAGTAAGACAAGGATGTGCATTAGGGAAGAAGTGTTTACTATATAAATCTCACAACAAAAATCCTAACTTAATACAATATTATAAGCTTAAAAATAAATAAATAAATAAATAAATAAATAAAAATTACTTACAGCACAATGTGGATAATGACAGATTTATCAAAACACACTAATATATTTTGACAACATGCTTAGGCACAAGTCTAGACATAATCAATGACTATAAAACTTTGGTGTAAGAGTATGATAGTATAATTTAATTCTTGCATAAAAGTAGATAAAAATATAAAATAAAATAAAAAGCGCCTAAATATAAAAGAATTAAAATTTCAAAGAGTGAAAAATTATCATTTTAATAAAAAGATTAGTGAAGGTTTTAAATCTAATATTGTAGAAAGACAAAGCATTAAATCCTACATCAGTCTTTACATTTCAGCACCAAACCAAATTTTCTCAAAATAACGAAGACAGAATTCAATATCTACCAGTCAATAAACAATATAACCAATATTGATACATTTAACCACATAATTCAATTTTAGTATTTTTTCTACTACTCTAATTGAGGGAGAAAAAATAATTAATAATACAAATATAATTGATAAATAAATATAATTCATTGTAATTACAAAGAGCAACATGAGTCCATTATGTAAAAAGTATCCAACTAGCTTTAATAAATACAATTTTGTAAAACCACTAGAAAAATTTAAATTGAATTGGCTACTTTATCTTTTAATTGAAACAAATAAATATAACAAAATATCCATTTTGTAAGCCTTCTATACTATTACACACTCTATAATTAGATTCAAACAAGTTAATAAATGTAATTCAAACTAGATAAATACATCAAATATTACAATTACTCTCACAATCTTGGATCAAAGAAATATGTCAAGATGTCGTGGAGAATCCAATCAAACTAAAAAAAACATGAAGCTTTGAATATAATTTAATAAAATAATAAACCAATATTCTAAAGCAACCACAAAATTAGAATAGATAATTTTTAAAGGCAATCTCAATAAGATATGTCAATTTGCATTGATATTAATATAATGATTATAAATCCAAAAGAAATAAGCGAGGAGTGTCTATTTGTTTGTTACTTCTTTATAGTGGTATTAGAAGTTTTTAATATGCCTCTATAAACTACAATTTAAGAAGAATTTTTTTGAAATATTTAATCATCAAATAAAACTATCAAGAAATTATAAGAAAATATGCACACAAATCTGTTCTAACCATAAACAACATCTATATATATATATATATATGTATATATATCAAAAAAATTTGATATTTTTAAATAATTTAGTCTCAAATATGGACTAGAAATTAAAAATGATAAAATAGGTACAAATTAGCAAGATAGAAAGAATCCTTTGGTTTGTTTTGGTCAGGCATTGATAAACAAACAACATGTGAATCAAAATTTAGACATAACTTTAGTATGTTTTTTTTTTTTTTTTTTTTTTATTTTTTAATTCTAAATCTCAACCAATTTTTAATTAGTTATAGATAATATAGTCTTAATGTGGCTAGACCATATATATACAACTATCTATAATCATATAAAATTTAGACATAATTTTAGTTTTTAGTTTTTTTTTTTTTTTTTTTTTTTTCTTGCCACATTAAGTCTTAAGTATAAGTAATACTATTAAATAAAGAGGCTTGTAATCTTTACTTGGTTTTTAAGTAAGATAAATTTTTTATGGCTAAATTGGAAAATAAATCATTTGCATGATCAATATCTTATAATACTAATATATACATATATATATATATATATATATATATATATATATAGTAAGGAGTAATGTAAAGTTTTAGGATAGTACAAAGACAAATCTAAATAGATAAATAGTTGCAATCTAGGAGTCACATATGCTTCACAACTTGTGGCAAAAATATTCCTAACATAATAAAAGTTATTTGTGTTAGCATTAGAATAATGAAAAAAATACAAAAAAAAAAAAAAAAAATACAAAATACAAAAACAAAAACAAATTTTAAATTTCTTTTTGGACCAACTTACAATCTTTAATCTTATTCTAATTCTTAAAAGTCATCTTTAGGAGCTCCTATAATATTAAATTACATTAAAATAGAAAAAAAAACTATTATAATCCATCTAAGAGCACAATATTTAACTTTGTTTACATAGAAAGATACATTTGATTTTAGATAATCCTTCAAATATCAAGAAATGTGCATTAAACAATATGCAAAGAGAGGAGAAACTTAAAATTAGACAGTTTCGTACCAAGATATTGAAATTAATGCATGGAGAGAAAAAATATATAAAAATATCATGCCAAACTATAATTTGTGTATAACCTTATTACTTGATTTAGTTTATGAAAATTTTAGAACTTCTTACAAATTAAGACTCATGTAGCACAAGACCATAAAACTTATAAATAAACTTGTAACAAAAAATTATTCATATATATATATATATATATATATATATTTTTTTTTTTCTAAGATTCAATATTTAAACAAATTTAGTTATTGTTGAGAGAATTTTTTTATTGAAAATTTGAATACAATAGTATGTCAATAGTATAATAATATTACAATAGTATAATAATTATATATATATATATATATATATATATATATATATAATTAAAAAATAAACACTAACTAATTAACTAACCAAAAAAAACCAAAAGATTTTAAATGATCTAAATGAATTTGGAATTATTTTTGGAAATATATTAAAATAAGATAATATTTTTTTTTCTCGTAGAAAATAAAAAAACATTTAGAAGACAAAAAAAAGTAATAAAAAACTAAAAAAAATTTACTATTGAAAATAACACAATTGGATCAATTGTTTACACCACAAATGAAGAAAGTAGTATCAAGTAATAGAAATAGAATTACGTTTATATATGTATATATATACATTCATAACAAGACTATAGTAAAAATACTTCATCAATTGCCTATTATAAGTAATTTTTGAAAATTTAAATACTAAATGTACTCCAACTCAATCATCATTGCAACAAATATCCCATATGTGTCAACAAGAAAACGAAAACAACAACTTCCAATGCACCGAGATTTTAAAAAGTGAAAAGTTGCCAAAGCAAGTGGCACTTAATGCTAGCATTTGCTGCGACCCTCCACGTGTAATCTACTTTAAAGGCGACTAAAGCAGGCTCAAAAGCAAAAGGTTCGCACTGGAACGCTGCAAAGCATCGTCGTCGTCTCCTACGAGTTGCATACAACTGCCGAAGCTCTCTCTGGACTGACGCTCTTGGACACCTTTTCTCCAGAGAGAGACAGAGAGAGATTTCACCTTTTCTTCTTCTTCTTCGAGCCGAAGAATTGAGGATTTTTTTCGAGATCACATTGCTCCAAATTATATATATATATTTTTTAAAAAAGAAAAAGTTGGGGTGGCGGTCGGGTCACAAATGCGACGTCTGTTTCAGTCTCTTTGGCAGAGTTTTGGGGAAGAGACGCGATTCCGATGGAAATGGAGTTTGGAGCGATCCGTGAGGTGCACAGCTTTGAAATGAAGGAGGATGAGGAATATGTATTGTGATAAAGATTTGATATGGTGGAGCGTCTTCCGTTAGTAGGCCCCTCGTGGAATCTTTGTGTTCCAGTTGGAGCTATTGAGAAGTAAGACTAATGTTCGTGTGAATTGGACGCTTGTTCGATGTTGAGGAGGTTTTATGAGCGCTCTAAATGTAAATTAATAGTAGGAGCATTCTAGCTGCGAGTTGCTCTGCCGTTGCTGTGGGTGATCTTCACATTCTCTCCTGTAGGATTACGAGTGGAGAATGATTGTGAGCTAGACTGTTTTCCAAATATACAGCATGAGAAAGGTCGGGGCTCGAGTGTGCTCCGATATCACTGGAAAGTAAACTTCATAATCCATTGGTTGGATTTTGAGATCTACGTTATCGCTCCCGCCATTCAATATCTTAGATCTTAGCGTAGCGAGGACATTACTGTGCGAAGCACGGTCATGTGTGATACTTGCTGCCAAAATGCAGTTGATTTGTTTGGATTATTGGGAGGGATGTCGGAGTTCAGTCTCGGCAGTGGTGTTAACAGATTATAAATCTAATTTATGATGCAGCTTTAGGACACGCTGAATGAAAGCCGTAGTGACCGATTCATGAGCACGGAGATTAAACGTTCTAAGAAAAATTTCGGTCCGTTCCGTTGTGTTTGAGTTTCTAAATACCAAGTACAAGCTGGTAGAAAGATTTGACAATAGTCTTGGTATTCAGCATCTCAGCTTGGAGCGTCGTGTAAATTGTCATCCCAGTACCGGTAGTACGCTCCGATGTCTGAACATGATTTTATGTTACTTGTAGGTCATTACCTTCTCTTGTGTTTAGCAATCATGTGCAACTCACCGCGGAACTTTGTCTCTTGGATTTAATTGACATATGAACGTAAATTCTGAGGTCGAATTGGTATACATGGAGCTTTAGCATGTTCCGTGAAGCCTCAGCCCAGGATGTGAAGTCGGGGATACTTGTGAAGTTTTTGTTGCGTGAAACTCTACGCAGTATCGGTTCCTCAAAAACTTCGGGCGTAACTTATTTAAACCTGGCATCAAAACTATTAATTGTGACTTTGCGGGGATGGACGAGTAATCCAGCTAGTTATAATGAAATGCAAATACCTCTCAAGTATAAACAGTGTCGCTTGGTTGGAATTTGTAAATACAATGTCGTTTCTCTGCAGAAGTCTCCCCGTGAAAATTATGGCAGGGAAGTAGTGGAGTTCAGCCGTCAAATCAAATTTCAGGCATCTTGAAACTTTTGACTGCAGTTGAGTATGTTAGGCTTCTGACACGATGCAACGCGTCTGGGTGAGTGAGGGGATTTCTGAAATCTGAATTAAACCTCTGACATTGACGAAGGGTCAACGATAATTCTGTTGACCAGGGAGGGGAAAGAAGCACATTGAAGCAGTTGAGAAACTCGTTAATCTTGGACCGCACATGGTTCCATGAAGAGTATCTTAGTCCTAACTGAGAGCTCAGATTCTCCCTGATGGAAGGTTTGAGTTGAAACCATGCATGAGAACGTAGATTTAATTATCTAAACTAAGCACTACGACTAAGTGTTTTCTGTTTTTGTGTGGCAGACCTCAATTTCAGAATGACTTCTCAACTCTTTGTTGGTAGCGCTTGTAACGTAAGTGGAATGTTAAGCAGAGAAACAAAACTGACTTACAATTGCTTGATCATTAGATGAGAAGGACTCAGATTGGTTGAGTGAGCACTTGTGGAACAGGAACAGCGAAGGCATGAGGCTGACCATGAGTAAGAGTTGGACATAGGCTGGCGTTGAAACGTCGTCGCAAATCGCACCGCACCGCACCACATTTGCTTGGTTGGGGGGGGATGTGGGGGGGTTAGGTTGCTCACATCATCCTCTTCCTGAACTTACCACAATTCTCATGAAGTGTCGTTTAGCAGTCAAGGAAATTATTAGCATCGAATCGCCCGCACGAAGCCATGTAGCAGGGACAACACAGAACCTGCACTCAGATTGTGAAGGATGAATATCATTCATCTACAGCAGCTGGGTCCTACCCCCCTGCCCACCCCTTCCCATTTCCCTGCCCGGGACTTGGAACAAATAGTTTTATAAACTTATTTTAATAATAAATAAATTTAAATTCAATTAATAGAAATTTGGGGTTACTTATCCGTAAAATCATGTGTCCTTTTCATGTGCAATATTGAACTCGAATTATCGTTATTTATTAAAATGATCATGGTATCAATAATTGCACAAAAAAATTGACACTTAGAGCTACTTAATATATCTTCTAAAGTTTTTTTAAAAATACATTATTCCTTCTAATAATGATAATAAAAATAGTAACTACTTCGAAAAAGATTACTTGTAAAAGATTGAGTGATTATAAATAACCAAATTTATAGGTCCCAATACACATTTACCACATTTTATATTATCAAAAGCCCTTATAGCACACAGTTATTTCAATTAAAAAAATTCAAAAAAAATTCAAAATTTAAAGGTTATATAATTTATTACCTTTATATATATATATATATATATATATATATATATATATATCATGGTAGGGTAGAAATACATTGATTGTGGTTCTTGTTTAGAAATTTTAGAGATTGAAGAATATAATCAAAAAGTTTACTTCCTTAATTGTTTTCTAATTTATATTTGTGAACTATTCATTTGAGAAGGTTTGCAAAATTTTCTGTTTATATATATATATATATATATTTTTTTTTTTTCTTAAATCTTTGTCCACATGTTACTACATATTAGAATAAAAATAAAAATAAAACCTAAACTGGTATTGCTTATAAGATTGTCAACTATTTTTTTTATATCTCTTTTTGTTTTATTGTTAAGTGAGCTATTTTGGTATCTTGATATGGTTTGTTAGTTCAACAGAATTCATTTATATTTACCTTTTTAATTCTGTTTGGAACCAGTGTTTTGTTTTTATAGTTCTGTTGAAATATCAAGTTATAATTCTTGATTAGTTGTTGTACATTATTCACTGACTTCTACATTTTATGCCTACAATACTGAAGGAGGCAACAAACGAAGTAATTCACCGCAAAGCTTACCAAATTTTCGCTGTCAAATTAATTGGTTGCGTGGTGAAAACATTTGTAATAACAAAAGCCATGAAAAATAAAAATTAAACTAAATGAAGCTGATGAACACAGTGAAAGATTAGAAGAATCCGAAAGAAAACAAAGGGAAAAAAAGGAAAAAATTAATATGCATTGCACTTCATACAATAATAATAAAAAATAAAAAAATGATTGTGCTGTATTTTAATCATAAATGATTAGCAAATTAAATGAATGAATTTTTCTTCCATTTGTTTGTGTTTATATGTATATGGGGGTGTTTCTATTGTCACCATAATCTCTCATCCATCACATGTCACCAAATGTTTTGCTACTACCACCACAATCTGCCATCCACTCAACATATTCTTTTGGTAGTTTTTTTCTTTTCACTAAAAAATTTAATTAGTATTTTTAATAATAATATTTTTTATATGAAAATTAAATTCAACTTTAATAATAAAATAATTAAAAAATTATTAGATAAGTTGTAGTGGCAATAACATAAATTATGGTGGCATTAGCAACTCCCTATATATATATATATATATATATATATATATATATTTTACATTGTTAGATTATAATACAAGGTTTATATTCAATGTTCAAGTTTTTTTTTATTTCTATATTATAGTTTTTTTTTGAGAAGACTTTGATTCATGTATGATTTAGATGTAATATTGTAATTTAAAGTTTTTATTTTTTTTGTTCATTTAGATTTTTCTTACCTATTCTTCTTATTAAACTTATTTTGACAATAAATAATGTTATGATCAACATTTAATGTGCCATACATGCATTATAGAGCCCATTTGGGAGCATAATAATATTTTATTCACTAATTTAGTTGTATAATGGTTGTTGCTTCATGCTCTAGGAATTATGCTTTTTGTGGAAGTTTTTGTATAATTTACAACTAGGACTTATGGAAAATAAATATAAGTAATTTAAGTATTTAGTTTGTATTTAACTATATCTAATTTAAAGTATCTAATTGGCACCAATATTCAATATGTACATTTGTAGTAGGTTCACCTAAAGGTATAATTATTTACAAAATATTATGTCAAAAATTGCTCAAAATAACCATTAATAGAATCAAGATATGAGTTAACATATTTAGACTTGTCAAAAGAATTGTTTATTATATAGAAACTTCTCATTTAAAACTTTTTTTAAAATCAAGATTTTCAAAAGAGAATTTGACTTCACCGAACAAGAACTTTTGTCAGACTTTTGCACAAGAAATTTTCAAAATTAAATTTCTACAGTAAATAACGGAATTAAGATTAAAAAATAAAAAATGAAAAAAATGAAAAACTTGCGAATTTTGAAGAATATTATTATTATCAACCAAACCCACGGTCGCAGGGCCGCTTGGGGCACTCTAGCCACGGGCAGCGCAACGACGGGCAGCGCGGACAACATCAGTTGTCTGGATTCATCCGACAGCTGGATGGATGGATGAACAGATAGATGAATGAATGTTTAGATGGATGGGTAGATGAACGCCACAGTGGAGTGAAGCGCTTCTGATTGTCCGAAGCTGCTTTTGTAATAAAAAGGCGAGATCATTGAAGCTTAGTTGCTGACTTGCACTGGTTAACGACTACTCCCCCCTCGTGGCTTCTTTGTCGAGCTCTGCTTGACCCACTGAACTAGAGGAGCTTCAAGGTTCAGCTTTCAATTTGGAGGGCTTGAATACTTGAAGGGAGAGAGAGAGAGAGAGATAGTTCTGGTGGGTGGGAGGGAGGGGAGCATGGATTTGTCGAAGGGTGCGGAGGTGTGTGTCACGGGAGGCACTGGGTACATTGCGTCGTGCTTAATTCAAGCTCTACTTCAGCGAGGTTACAAAGTCCGCACCACAGCCAGAAACCCCGGTTGGTTGTGATGCACTTGTTTTTTTCTTTTTTCGTTATTTTATGTTTTATGTTTTTTGCTCTATTAACAATAACTAACAGGTTTCTGCAAACCGAAGTGACACATGAGGCGTAGTGTGTAGACCGTTCCTTGGATTGTCTGAGGAATGTGTCGGCTGTTTTTTCCAAGGTTCGATTGATGCATTGTGTGTGTGATTCGTGAAACTGTGTCGTGAAATTGGGCAGATGATAGGGCCAAGACTGGGTTCTTGTGGGAGTTGCCAGGTGCTACAGAGCGGCTTGAAATCGTCGGGGCAGAGTTGCTGGAGGAGGGCACCTTCGATGAGGCTGTTCATGGAGTGCACACAGTGTTTCACACTGCGTGCCCTGTGGTATATGACCCCAACGGTGATCCAGAGGTACTCGACGTCTTTCTCTTGTTTCTCCTTGCTCTCTGTGTTTTTTTTCACTTACTGCGTTTCGCAAGGAATCCCAAATGTATTGTTCGCGCAAGCACTCTGTTAGGTGAAATGGATGAGACCTCCTGCAACCGGTAGAATTGAATAATTATGCAGAATTTGTTGGAAGAACATTCTGCTTCCTTGTGTATACGGTGTTTGACAAAGAAGTGCAACAAATGTTTAGGCACCAGAATTCATCTAAATCGTATTTATTTACCAACAAATGACACCGTATAGGTGTCAATGCTGAATCCTGCTCTGAAAGGAAACTTAAACGTTCTACGGGCTTGCACCAAGTCGCATTCCATACAGCGTGTGGTGATGACCAGTTCCTGTTCAGCCATCCGATATGACCACAATCGGAGGCCAGAGGATCCCCCTCTTTCTGAATCGGTGTGGAGCAGTCCAGAGTATTGTCGAGACCACAAGGTGCTGTTGTGAAATGCCCATTTCAATTCACATGCTAGTTTGTCATGTGATGGGATTCATGCTCTTGGGATACAGTTTCCTCATTTACCGACACTTTCCAGTTGTAACTCTTTGTGTTTATTCCTTTTTGAGTAAGTTGAAATTTGGTTTACTCCTGTGTATTTGCAGATGTGGTATGCGTTAGCGAAGACGCTGGCTGAGAAGGAAGCATTTGAGTTCGCTGCAAGAGAGGGGCTTAATTTGGTGGTTATATGTCCTTCCTTCGTTATTGGTCCTTCTCTCACACCCATTCCAACGAGCACCGTCTTCCTGATCCTTGATCTTCTGAGAGGTACGTTCCGAATCTTGCATTGGGGATGTCTGAAGAGGCACCTCGAGATGTTTCTGCAATTGTTGGCGCTTCAGCTTTTACCTGCCACCTAGTGGTCGTTCATGATGTTCACCTATGGTGACCCACTACTTTGTATCTAGACTTATTTGTTGTTTTAGGTTGTAACAACACAGAGTGAGCGATTGGAAAGAAGTCGGGAAATTTTTCAAGTGAAAAATGGTTATATAGCTCACAAACTTTGTAGGTGTAGGAAATGTTATTCAGTTTCTCGTAGTTAGTTCACAGGCATAAGTCAGACGCTTAAAAGATGGAGCAGGATTGGACGAACTGGGCTAAATGTTGCATGGATGTGGAGGCAATTAGCAGGAAGGGCACAAGAGTACCCAAATAAAAGGATCGGATTTGTGCACATTGATGACGTTGTCACGGCGCATGTGCTCGCAATGGAGGTACCTGAAGCACATGGTCGATACATATGTTCATCAGATGTTGCACATTTTGGGGACATTATGAGCATGCTTAAAACCAAGTATCCAAAACTGCAGACTCCTACCAGGTGACTTGGCACCTTCCTGACTCTCCCCATGCTTGCAGGAACTCAACAAAACTTGTCACATGCTCTGCATTGAACGAGGAGCTTTCATGTGTAGTCTGGTGGAAAAATAAATGGGTAACATTGTAGTGGAGGAATGTGAATGCTAAACAGTGGAATTGGGATTCTGCTGCAGGTGCTCGGACATGCCGCCGGGAGACGACATTCACCACAAAATGGACACCACAAAAATCAAAAAACTTGGACTAACTGAATTCAAAAGTATAGAGCAGATGTTTGATGACATGCTTAGGAGCCTTCACGAAAAACATCTGGAAAGCTTGTAGAAACAGAATCAGTGACAAAGTGGCATCTAAGGAAGTAAAACATTGGTCGCTTCTCCATTTTATTGGAGGCAACAATTTTGCTAGTTAATAGGTGTACATCAATTTCCATGAAGTTACTATCTCTTTGCCTAAATAAAAGTGACGCCCTTGTTGTCTTCTTGTATCAACTTGGTTTTAACTTGTGTTAACTTGGAATTTACTTGAAATAAAATCTTTTTAAACCTTTTACCGTAAGGCATGTCAATCGGATGATTTGTTCTAATACCCCTCCTTGCGCCTTATGCTGTCATGGTCTCATTGCAACATCTATTTTCATGATGGTTGATTTGACAAAATTTCAAGATGGTGGCCAGAGTGTGATCCTCTTTTTTTTTTTTTTTTTTTTTTTTTTTTTTATCATGTCAACCGACTCTGCTTTATGAGTTATCAGTTTAGAAGGGATAGTTTGATTCCCTGTGCTTTTTCTTCAAGAAGGCAATCATCTCATTTACATCCAACGTCTTATAAATTGTTGATATGGTTGGTGTATTGTGCAGATTGAGGCGTTCCTTTTGTTGATGTGGCTTTCTTGTGCCTTCTTGAATCATTGCTGCAATGTAGTTCATCACTGGTTTAAAGACAAATGCAGTGATGTATTTGTGACTCATTCGGAGGAGGCAAGCGACATTGGCCAGGTGGTAGTGCCTCTTTCGAAAGTGGTCTTGGGTATTTTAATCCCGGCCCTTCTTGATCATCTTGTGCTGCGACACATATGGTCTCATTTGAAAATGTTCAAGAATCTTTTTCTTTTCTTTTGCTTGTAGCAAGTCTCTAGCACATGGGGCTTTATTGTTGAGAAGTCATTGGAATGGTAGGTCATTATCTTCTTTGAACTCAATTACAAAGGCTACTGTTGTAGTTGCAAGCTTTTTTTGATTTGTCCTCTTCTTTTAGTTTCTCAGTTTAGAGTAGAAATAGACAAGTCAGGTTCCTCTTGCATAAACATGTGAATCTACATGGGTATGATACTTCTTTATTTGATATTGGTATGCATAGAAAGAAAATATTTAGAAATAAGAGGAAGAATAGGGAGGAGATGACAAATTGTTGGTTGAGTATTACTATAGATTTTCTTGAAGAGAGTACTTACTGGTTGAATGTTTACTTTGAGAGCTCATTGAAATTGTGAACTCCCATATTGTATTGCATCTACTAAAAGAATACCCTTTCTAAGGATTTTGTGAAAATGTTTGCTTGTTATTCATTGGTATGAATGTATGATATATATATATATATATATGTAAGGATTTTGTGAAATATTTGCTTGTTATTCATTGGTGTGAATGTATGATATATATATATATATATATATATATATATTTCTTCCATTTATTTGTAAATGTAGTGGTATTGTAATTTTATATGCTTAATTTCCATACATAGCACTAGATTATTAACCAATTTAATAGAACTCTAATTCTCACTGTATAAAGTTGTTGCCTCTTTGATCTCATATCTCAATTTATTCATCTCTATTTTAGTCCACATTATTTCTTGTGCACCATTTGATAGCACTTGGTATTTTGCTTTAGTAGTGGAAAATGCAGCTATAGGTTACAATTTGCTACTCCAATGTATGATGTCATAAAGGTATCTCTCCCATTTTGAAAATCATTTATGCTATTGATTTCTTTTTATTTAAATTTCTATTCTAGTTTGAATTTATATAAGTTATAAATTTGTTGCTTGAATTTTTGGAAAAGTAAATACTACAACAAATTGTGCCTTTGATGTAACAAAGGACTTTCTTTGCTTCTTTAAGGTGTGGATATTGTGATGCAAATATGAATTTGCTCAAGCAGCTAACTATGTACAAAATATCATATCTCATATACATAAGATAAATGAAGCTTTCTACAAGGCTCTAACAGTTTGTTGCATCAACATATTTTGCATCCATGTTTAAGTTTAATTTGGTACCTTCTTCTATTCATATTATGATTACTATGCTATCCAACATACTAAATATTTTTATTAAGTTGTATGAATATCCTTCTTGAATAAATAATTTTCTTATTGTGATGCATATATATTTGATTCCTATATAAAATGTCAATATTTCAAGTTTTGACATTTCAAAATATTTTTCTAATTCTTGTTCTAATAAATCTACTTTGAGAGGGTAGTTTCTTATGAATGGTAAGTCATTGACATATATCAAAATTACTAATATTAATTTTTTTTATATAGAGATAAAGATTATAGTCAAATTTGCTCCTAATCATGCCGAAGTATATAAAAAATAAGTATATCTTAATGTATTATGCCTTACTTACTTTTTTTAATCCATATATTTTTCTTTTTCAAGAAACATACTTTGTTTTGATTTTTCTTTGGTATTACTAATCCTTGAGGTAGCACCATGTGAACAATTTCTTTGGAATCACTATTAAAAAATATAATTTTAATATCAAGATGCTTGATACTTTATCCTTTTTTAATTGCAATTGCTACTACAAAATTAATTATTGGCTATTTGACGATTGGAGCAAAAGTCGCCTTATAATTTGTTCCTTCTTTTTGCTTAAAACTTCTCACAATAAGTCAGGCTTTGAATTTTTTTATACAACCGTCAATAGTCATCTTGGTTTTGAAAATTTATTTTGAGGTTATCAAGATTCTTTCTTGTAGTAAGCTTATCAATTCTCATGTTCCATTTTTTTGTATTGAATCTAATTTATCATTAATTACCTTTGTCCATCATGTGTATTGTATGGCTTCTTAAAATGTTGTCAAATCTTTGGGCTCAATTGTATATATATAATCTTCTAATTAAGATATTACTTTTTGTATGTAAGGTGATCATTTGACTACTAATGTTTTTCTATTCTATTTTGTAGTTGTAGAATTAATATGTCTAACAAAGGTATGATAAACATTGGGGCCATTGAGTAAGTCCCGTAAGAAGCTATCATGTTCTATTGCATAGACATTAAAAATATTTGAAGATTGGAATGAGTTCTCTATGGTAGAATCGCCCCTTGAAGCCATATCGGAGGTACTCAAAGATATGACTTCTTTTCATGTTTTTATTTGTGTGAAGGAATCTAATTTTTGTAGTTTCATGATGTTTTTAGTCCTAATATTTTTTCATTGAATACCACATCATTTGAAATGATTATTTGTCTTTTCTAAGAATTAAATAATCTATATATTTTGATTACTAAATCATAATCTAAGAATAAATATCTAATCAATGTAGATTATAACTTATTTAGTTCATATTTGAAAATATGTATATGTGGTAAGCAACCAAAAATTTACAAGTGATCTATTATAGGTTTGATTCTAATGTAGACCTCTTTAGAGATTAATCTTTTATTTTTGCTAGTTAGATACCTCTTTATTATGTAAGTAGTTGTGTTAATGACTTCACTCCATAAATACATTGGAGCACTACATACTATTGACATATTATAAGCTTTGGTAAATAGTATTCTATTGATTTTTTCTACTATTCCATTCTGATAGGAAATATGTGCTTGAGTCTTATGATCTACTATGCCTTTGTCTATTAGAAAATTCTCAAAATCTCATGAAATATACTCACCTCCTCATTTAGATATAAAGGTTTTGATTTTTTCTCTTATTTCAATGTCGACTAAGGCTTTAAAACTTCTAAAAGTTTCAAAGGCTTATGACTTGTACTTAAGAAATAAGGTTTATATTTTCCATAAGAAATTATCTACAAATGTCATAAAGTATATAGATCCTTATAAAGATGCTAAAAGCAAAGTTCTTCAAAGGTCTAAGTGGACTCCTTCATTTCTTAATGTGACACTTGAATAACTAATCTTAAGAATATTTGCTTTTGTTTGCTTTCTTCAATACAATGTTCACATGGTTCATCCTATATTTTGAAGTAAGCTAATTCTTTGACATTGTGAAGCATGTTGTATAGTATTTGATAATTAAAATATCCTAATTAACCATGCCAAACATCAACTTGGAAGATTTTATCTATCTCATAGATTTCTATAGTTGTTGTAGTGGTTTACAATTTACATCGTCTATTGGTGGATTCTATTATTTCTTTTGCTATAATCATAGTGATATTTCATGAGCTAATGCTTTGACAAGTTTGCAATCCAAATAAAATAATGTAACTTTAATCAATTATATTTTTTTATTGAGAATAAAATTTTAGTGATTTCCAATATATAGAGAATATTATTGATTTTTTATTTTTATTTTTATTTTTATTTTTTTCCACTATATTTTAATAATATTTTTTCCTTACTTTTAATAAAATAATTTTTTCTACTAATAAAACATATGTTGTGATTTCAAACATATTCAATAAATCTCCAATAATATGTTTGGTTGCTCTTGAATCTAGATATCAATTAGGATCTTGGATTTGAATATTTAATGACATCATAGCAACTTCAAACACTTTTAATGCATTTATTGCTTGCTCTAATATCAGCTCATCATAAACTATGTTGATGTATGGTTTGTATTCTTGTCTTTTAAAACCTTGATGGTTGGATTTTTCTAAGAAGAGATAATAACATCCTTGAGAGAAGTGGCCTTATTCTCTACAGTTGTTATAATTGCCTCTTTACATTTTTTTTTATTCATTTTGGTATCCTCATATAATGATTTAATAGCAAGCCTCTTTATAAAATATCAAACTTTAGAAATGTAGTACTCAACATTCTTAAAGTTTTTAGAATGTGTTGTGATGTCTCTTGTGTTTGGTCATTGATAGTGCTTCATATTGGGTGTAATCGTCTTTCTTTTGAGATTCTTCAAAAAACAACTTATTATACAAGCATTCAAAACTATGAAGTTAGACTTAACACATCATAGCTTAGGTAAAAAGATCATAGCTCTTTTGCAATACTCTAAACATAATTTTTACTACTTTGGCATTTGATACTGGATCTCCTACTCTTGAAAGTTGAGTAATCAATTCCTCTATCTTTTTGATAAAATTTTCTATCATTTTTCTCTCTTTTTAATTAGTTCAAAACTTCTATAATCTTTTTTGTTTTACACATCTCTTTAAGATACATGTAATACCATAACATTCCCTCTCTTAAAATTGTTTTAATCTTAATCTTTGACATTCCATCTCATTTTGATGTTGATTAGCTTATTATTAACGTCATTCAAAAATCTATTGTTGCATCTTCTATTATGGCTATCAAGACACCTGCTTGTATAATACCATGGATGCATTTTCAAAGGAGTGTACAAATCATCCTTTAGCTTTATCTAGTTGTTTCTTTAGTAATTGGAATATCTAGTTGTCTAGTTATTTTGTTCTTGGTCTCAAACATTGTACTCTATGTCAAACTCATTTTGATACTATATAGAAATAAAATCAATGATAAATTGACATCTAAAGAAATAGAATATTTTATTATATTATACTATTCACTTTGCAATGTATTTATACATTCTAATATTGATCATTTATCTATTTTATTGGAAGCAATAATTTTGCAAGTTAATAGATATAGAACAATTTCTACTAAGTTACTATCTCTTTACATAAATAAAAGTGATGTCTTCATGGCTTTCTTATATCAACTTGGTTTTAACTTATGTCAATTTGGCATTTAATAAAAATAAAATTTCTTTTAACCTTTTATGATAAGATGTATCAGTTAGGTGATTTGTTCTAACAAAGCTACTTCTAGAACCGTGAAATGGCTACAATAATTATGGAAGAATTTACTACTATGCAAATGTCATAATTTCTAGAGCCTTAATTTGTCAACCAAAGTCCCATCTTTGAAGAAGTTTTACAAGCTTCATGTCTTCTAAGTAGAATTTATTATCTTCTCGCTATACTTTGTAAATCTAATAATGAGATCAGGAATTATAACACCTCAATGCCTTTTGAACAAGATGACAAAGTGCTTCTATACCTTTGAAAATGCTTCTACATGTTTTTTATTTGATTGATTGTTTATTTGTTTTTTTTGTTTTTTTTTTTTTTTTTTCAATATATTTTGTTTCAATTATTTTTTAGAAAAGAAAAAGTAAGTCTCTAAAATTAATGTGAAGACATGAATAAATTAGTTTGTAGAAAAAATTAAGGCAATCCAATTGCAAATTGGTATAGCTATCTAAGATTAGTTAATAAATCAGGTTATTTTTTTCTTAAAAAATATAATAAATTTTTTGATACTTTAAAGATTTTTTTTTAATGTATATTATTTTTGAGATCTTTTTGCAAATAAATGAGCTTATGCCAATAGAAAAGATCACTTTCAAATAATGTATATATGTATATATTTATTTATGTTGAATAAGGATAGAAAAATTCTTTTTATACTTTGTACAATGATACCAAACATAAGTTCTAATCAAATAAAAGAAAAAGTTACTTAAGTTCAAATTTTATGTCATAAACCATATAAGATAAAACATACACATACATACAAAAAATCACATCTAGATTACTCAATTATAAATAATATTTTAAATTATTGATATGTATTTTACTTTGTTGATTTGAATTAGTGTAATCTCATTATATCCTAAGTAAATAAACATAGAATTAAGAACTAATGCTTTAATCAATAACTTGAGCATAATAAAGGTTGTAAAAAAACTAACATTTTAGAGCTATGACATTAGTGTATCAATTTATATTTACTAAGTTAGTTAGTCAATTAGTAGAATAATCCAAAAACAAATGATATTTTTTAGAGGTTCTTTTTGTTTCAAGAAAAAGTTGCACATTACTATAAAATCAAAAAGACAATAATGTCTTTAATAGTAACCACAATAGTTTTTTGCATTAAATAAAAAAATGTTACTTTTCTAGTAGTATATAATTTTATAGTTACCAAAAGTTAGTTACTATAAAATTATATACTAAAATTTCTTCAAAAAACATCTGATAAACAACGCGAGGATGACCCAAGCCCGTGCGCGCTTTTGGGTGTCCACATTTATGGTCCGCAGTTTTGGGTAACCGTGGAATCAGCAACAGAAAGATAAGCTCCAAGCAGAGGCAAGGTAATATTCCACTCGCCGAAGGGACCCGGTACCCGCGCATGGAACATTCCCTGCGCGGGTACGGGCCCCTCCGGTGGTACCGTGCGCCACTTGACACAGACTGGAAATATTCTCGTTCACACAGTGCTAGGGCTTCAGGGTGTGAGCCGTGGCGCATCTTGTGGACTTGCCGTGGCGAGCTACCTCCACGCTCCCGCTTCCGCAATTTTGTTGCAGTGCTTTGGATTCTCGTGGTTGCTCGTCTCAGGTGGTTCACTTCTTAACTTGCTTCGTTACGCGCCGCCTTCTCCTGCATTGTCTCTTCATATATATGTATATATTTTTTTTTCTTTTCACTTTTGTTGAGCTCGGTGAGGGTATCTAGTTTTGGTGAATAAATGTGCAGAGTGTAGAATTTGCTGTGGGTTATGGGCACAGTGCCTGTGATGCGGTTGTTGTTGTTGTTGTTGGAGAAGCCCTTTGTTTTGGGCTCGAGACTTGAATAAAATATGGGACGGTACTGGTTCCATTTTGTAGAATTATGATTATGATGATGGTCAATGTGGCAGCAAGTAGGAGGATTGGATTTGAATTGTGGGTTTTTGCGCTCGCTGTTTCTGAGTTAGTTACTGACGAAGCTCTGTAAATTGTGTGTGGACAGGAAGTGAAGATGTCGGCCTCCAAGGATGGCGACCCTCGGATCCAGTATATCTCGGACAGCATCCGTACCATTCCTGATTTTCCTCACAAAGGTACTATGCTCCACGCCATAGTCGTCACTCTCGGTTTTGTTTTGCAGTGTTCGTGACATGTGGTTTTTTTCTTTTTTCACCTTTAGCGAAGGTTTTGTATGGAATTCTCTTTCGTAGCGCGAGTTTACGTGATGAATTTGGTGCAGGCATTATGTTCCGAGATGTGACGACGTTGCTGTTGGATCATAAGGCTTTCAAAGACACGATCGACATCTTTGTTGAGCGTTACCGGGACCAGAAGGTGGACGTCATTGTGGGTGCGATGCCCTTGACTCCCTTGACGTACCATAACGGTTTTGTGTAATAATTTGAAGGCAACCGTTACGTTTATAAATTTGGGAAGATTGTCTGGCTGTTGTTGATTACTTTCGTGCTACTTTTTTCAGGAATTGAAGCTCGAGGTTTTATCTTTGGGCCACCCATTGCTCTTGCCATCGGTGCGAAGTTTGTGCCAATGCGCAAGCCTCGTAAACTTCCAGGTAAGGGTTGACAGGCACTTTTTCTCTTAATCTCGTGATTCATGAAAGATTAGGGCTCTCAATGGCTTTCGTCGTCCGTGGAATAGAGTTTTCAATGTGACCGAGACTTCATCCTCATGTAGCTTAAAGGTGTATTCGCTTTCTATTTCTCAAGCTGCGAAAGCATGTCAGCACTTATTATCTAGAGAAGCTAAATACATTATTTCAACATTTTTGTGATATCGATTGCTTTGTATGTGCTTTGCATACTAAGAATCAAAATCCTTGACAATTTTGTGCTGACGTCCGTGTTCACATGTCTTAGGCCCTGTGATTAGGGAAGAGTATAGTCTAGAGTATGGTACCGATTGCATTGAGATGCACGTTGGAGCCATCGAGAAGAACGAGCGCGTAGTTATTGTTGATGACTTAATTGCCACCGGAGGCACTCTTGGAGCTGCCATCAAATTGCTAGGTTTGCTTTCTTTCTTCCTCTCTTACTTAAATGAGAACTGTTTTCGAACATTTAAGCAGGAAACTTTGTCTTCAACAACCTGTGAAGCATGGCGTTTTGTTTAGACGTTGGATCCAACTACAGGAAGAAACCTAAATGTGTGTTTTCATGTTAGCACTAGTTTTGTCGAATCTTTGAGATGTTTGACCTTGAAAGTTGACACCACCTTGTTTAACAGACAAAGTTGAAGCGGAGATTGTGGAATGCGCGTGCTTGGTTGAGCTGGTAGACCTGAAGGTATTTTTCTCCCACTGCATAATCTGTAGGGTTGCTTTCTCTGAGGCAATTGTAAGAGTTCAATGCCGTCTGGAGCTTACAGTTTTATCGTTTATCCTATGATGACGTAGAATAACCGAAAATCGTAATTATCTCCAGCAAGACTCCTCTTTTTGTGTGTTGTTAACACATCTTCATTCTTAGCTACAAAGAGTTTAATGCCGTCTAGTATCTGCTATGTTGATGAACTTGGAACATATTTGCAGGGTCGTGAGAAGTTGTCGGGCAAGCCGCTGTACATCTTGGTGGAATATGAGGGCGAGTAAGCTTCACCATCCCCGAACTGTCGCCGTGGTCATTGGTTCTATGAAGTGCCAATCCTATATATATGGAAACACGATCTGCAAACATTATGGCAAAAGCAGATCGTACTGCAATTAATTTTGAGCTACTATCGATTCTTTGATTTTCGGTTTTCCAAGGTGTATGACTTTGGGTCAGAATTATTTAGACAACCTGGTTGTCTGAACATTCATATATACTTATCTCAGAGGATTATGCTTTACTGGGACCTTTTCTTCTAACCTCGGAAACGTAATTGTAGCATCACCTACTCCTGCATTGCAACAGTGTAAACAATCACTAGAAAGTCCATGTTTCAGTCCTTCGTTTGAATTGTGTTTTAAACAACACTCGTCACATGCCTCCTGATGTTTCTCTTACCTGTCTTTCTATCCTTTTCAGTACAAAACTTGCGGCATGCCATAATTATAAGTAAATTACTTTTGAGATGTGTCTGACCGTATTGATTTTTTCAAAAAGATTTGCAATTTATAGGTCACCTGTACTCACTGTGATACCTACCAATGCTAATTTTAATTCACCATTCTCTCGGAACGGCGAGCCTCGTGTATTGTCGTCACCCCATGCAATATTTTTTTCACATTATCCAGATCCGAACACATTGAAATCCTCTGAAAACGATGAGAAAGGAACTGCGCTTAGCATACAGCGCTCAGCAGGCAATGTGAAACGAGATCAAGGCGGAGTCTCTCACACACCGTGAATATCCTCACGTCGGAAAGCACCGAAAACTAGTGGTCCACAAGGACCCAGTTACCTTAGACGAGCTGCGACTGAACAATTCCTGCCACAGGAATTTGTAATTCCGCGATTGACTCCGTCGAATCTGAACCGCGACTCTGCATGCTGCAGGATGGCCCAGCGATCGCCTGGATGGAGAGCCTGGATATGGCCACACAATCCACATCCAGCCAATGGGAGCACGAGCCTCGTTCCTACCAAATTGCTGCCGTAGAACTCATCCACTCCAACGGCCGTGTCGATATGGCTATGGCCTTTCGCACACACAGAGCTAGTTATTTCTCACCGTAGCAACCCACCCGGGCCTCTGGAACTGGGTGCGATGGCCACCACCGCTGCTTCTCTCCCTGCTGCCACCTCCAGCGCCGTTTCGTCCAGCTCTTGCAGAGTTTTTGGGAATTCGCGTCCGTTGAAGACGTCATGGACTGGCGCCAAGGTTTTGGCCGTGAAGCCCAGGACTAAGTGCGTTGCGCAGGCTGTTGCTGCTGGTGTGTATGGCTGCCTTGCCCACGTAGCGTGTTCTGGTGTCGTTCATGGGTTTTCTTTTCCTTGGTCACTGTGACTCGTAACATACTTCATGGAGAATGTTGAACACAATGTAGGCTGCCTGGTTGAATTTTGAGTTATGGGGTGAAGCATGTACAGGTTTTGATTGAGGCAGGAAGTGGTGGAGTAAGTTTTTAGGTTCTTGGACGATGGTTGGATGGAATGTGAGTGGAGGAAGTGACTGATTCTAGGAACTAAAATTCAATTGTTATATCAGTTTGTTTATCTGTGTCGTGGCGGAAGTTCATTCCCTCTCGGTCTTTCTCTGCGTTTAATCTCCGGGTTGATATTAACATACTGTGGTTTTTAATTTCAAGCATCTGTCAGTTCGGAAATGGGAGGTTTAAAACAGTGCGAGGGTTTTGTGTCTCAGAAATTAAGGAAGCTGGGGCGAATGTGGACACATCCTCAGATCCTCTGCTCCTGAGGGCGGTGCGCGGTGAGGAAGTCGATAGGCCGCCGGTGTGGATGATGAGGCAAGCTGGCCGATACATGAAGGTACCCATTTTGAATCTCAGTCTGTCGCCCAAATTCGCATTCTCTAGCTCATTTAAGACAGGTCCTTAACTCTCCCTTTGTCAGAACCCTCCTGGTAGAGTGTTAGTTTTTGTTTTTCGATAGTATAAGCAGTTGAGCCTGTAGGGGACCAGTAAAATTTTAATCTCGTTTTCTCTAAGCTCCCCTTTAGGATCACGACTCATCATCGAAACGCAGCCAACGAACCTTTCTATTGAAGTCTACAACCTCCATGTACTCTTTATCATCTAGAAGTCAGACAGGATGAGTTTTTATTTTAGAAGTGGCGTCTGCATAACCCGCATATAATAACCAGTACAAGGTCTGAAGCCAGGGCCTGAGGTTGTGGCTCTTGTGAAGTTGAACATATTGAGGAGTCTAAATTCTAATGACCGAAAGCTAGGGGCAGGAGCATTGACTTTTCAATAAATGTAACGTATGCGTTGGGCACTGACTCGAAGTAGTATTCCATGGTTCATTATCGAGAATAGACTCGTTGTAGAGAGGTCATGGTCGATTGCAATGAGACCATGTTCCAGGGTTTTTAATGTTATCAGTAAGGCACAGAGGTCTTGATCTGTGGACTTGCCCGGGAGATAGGATTAATTCTAAGTGACTTGCTGCGATGGTTCTGTTGTACATTACCAATAGGTGTATCAAGATCTATGTCAGAAACACCCTACTTTCAGGGAGCGCTCTGAGAATGTGGATTTGGCAGTCGAGATTTCATTGCAGCCATGGCGAGCATTCAAACCCGACGGAGTACGTCGACCCTTCTGCACTAAAATTTTGATCCTTGTTTCTGCTTGACTACACCTAGCAGCCACAGACTTCGGATCTCAAAATGCTCAGTGAAAGTAATTGCAGCTCTTTGAATTGCTGAAGGAGTTCGCTTTGGAAGGCATTCTTGAACTTCTCGTTCTAATTTGCGAGCTCCGTGTGCAGGTTATTCTATTCTCAGACATCTTGACCCCATTTACCGGCATGAACATCCCCTTCGATATCCTGAAGACCAAGGGCCCTATCATTCATAATCCTATTCGGACCGCTGCCGACGTCGCCAAAGTGCGAGAGTTGGTACCTGCTGAAGCGGTGCCGTATGTCGGCCAGGCTCTTACTGCCTTGCGTGAGGAGGTAAGACGTCACCTGCATCATTTTAACAGCCGTAATGGGAAGTTGTTTTGAAGTGAAGTTCAACTCTTTGGTAGTCAGACAGCAAGATTACAACTTCATTTCAAACTTAGCTTGGTAGAATAAATGCATTGAGACGTTTTGCCTATTTTGGTATCTTCCACAGGTCGGTAATGCTTCCACAGTTCTTGGATTTGTTGGAGCACCCTTCACGTTGGCATCCTACATAGTCGAGGGCGGATCATCTAAACATTTCACCGTAATCAAGAGGATGGCTTTCGAGACTCCTGAGGTTCTGCACTCTCTACTTCAGAAACTTGCGGAATCGGTTATCATATACGTACGCTATCAAGCTGATTGTGGTGCGCAAGCTGTCCAAATCTTTGACTCATGGGCAACCCACTTGAGTCCAGTAGATTTCGAGGTGTTCAGCCTGCCCTACATCAAGCAGATTGTCAGTGCAGTGAAGTCCACCCACCCCGATCTCCCATTGATCTTGTATGCAAGTGGAAGTGGTGGCCTCTTGGAGCGGATGGCTTCTACAGGGGTTGACGTAGTCAGTGTTGATTGGACTGTTGACATGGCTGAGGCCAGGCAGCGTATTGGTACTCAACTAGCTGTTCAGGTAACCATTCGTACTGCATCTAAGAGTTAACCACTGTTCATTCTAGTTGTCAAAGCTTATCTAAGTCTCACTCTGATTGTGGATACTTTCAGTAATTGACTTGCGAGCCACTTTTATTTTTATTTTTTTGTTTTTTTGTTTTTTGTTTTTTCTTTGTCATATGCTTCATTCAACTACCTGGAACCTCTAGTCATTTTTTGTTTCTCTTTTCCATGGATAAGACAACCTTTTTCTTTTTTCCTTTTTCTTTAATTTATTTTGTATCTTTGTAGGTGTTGTGCCGAACTGTCGTCTGATCTCCGATATCTGTGGATGCCACTTGAAGTGATAGAATTTGATAATCTAACATACAATGCTATTTTATGAGCAGGGTAATATGGATCCTGCTGCTCTGTTTGGAACCAAGGAATTCATCGAAAGGAGAATACATGACACTGTTGCTAAGGCCGGGCGGCACAAACATATTCTAAACCTTGGACATGGTGTGTTGGTGGGTACACCTGAAGAGAATGTGGCGCACTTTTTTGAAACGGGTAAAAGCGTACGATATTGAGATAGGGTCCTGAGAAAGGAGGTAGTTGTGAAGGTTTAGTTGTCGAGGAATGGAGATTTGATTCCTGGAATTTTAGTGAGAATCCTGGTTCCCATTTCCAGTTAGGTACTGAGGAGAAAATGCAACAGTATACACTATCTGTCTGGGCCTTCTTTTAGAGGTACTTGAAATCCGCAGCAAGGTTATCTCCATATTGCATTTTGAAGAGGCGCTTCCAAGCTGGCATCGAAACAGCCGCAGAAAATGTTTTTATTCTAGATCTCCACGCTGGAAAACTCCCCTACGTCGGCGGTCTCACCTTTCTAAATGAAGTTTTCATCAAGACAATTCAACTGGGTAATGCTATTTCTCTGATAAAGTAATATTAGAAAGCATCTTTTTGTCTGAAAATGAAAAACAACAAAGATTTTTGAACCGTACAACGGATACAAAACTGAATTTTTCAAACTAACATGCAAGATCAGGTTGACAATCAAAATACAATATAAAACTAGCAGGGAATGTGAAGCCACACATAAATATGCATGTACATTTCTGTTAGATATAATCAATATACAGTTTAGCAAATACTTCAACACACAGGTCACTGAGCTGTACTATTGTACTTATTTCTGCTGATTCGTAAGAAACCTTCCATGAATCTCAGTTTGAAAGATTGTAGTCAATATCCTTGGTATATACGTAAATGCACACAACTTGTATTGAACTCCTCTGCACAGAAGCTAAAAACCCAGCAATGAATTCTTGAAATTAGCCAATAATTATCAATGGAATTCAAGATTGACTTCTAGAAGCACACTTTCATGATATCGACACTGTAAGTGTATGGATCGTTCTAAGGATTACTGTCATTACTAAAATTCTGACTCTCAACAATTTTAAAAATGTGCATGTCATGGATATGATGTACTGTATCATTACTCATGAGTGATGAACTTACAAGTAAACACACACAAGCATTTACACAGTTATTAACACAAATTTCATTCATCCTTCTCTTCCTTTGAATGTCTTCCATATATTTTTCAATAATTCATACAATAATGATATTAAATATGAAAAATAAATGATATATTATCTCTTTTGTCTCAAAACTTATTTTAAAAGAAGAAGAAAAAAAAAAGAAGAAAGAACTCAGTGAAATAAAATACACATCCAAGAAGCAATTAAAAAGAAAGAATAAAAAAATAAAAATAAATTAATTAAACTTATAATGTTAGAGTGAAATACAATCATATAAAAATAATTTTTAAGTATGTATTACCATAACTTTGCTATAAGTATGTATGCAAAAAATTCATTTACTTGTATTTCTAGAAATGTTTACGACATCAAATGGATTAACATAATACTAACATTCTAATAAAATGTAAAGACTACTCTTTGTAATATGGTGTTATGATTTGCAAAGTCGTGTGATTTCATACTTGAATTAACTAGCTGAAACCATCATGTTGTCATGGAAAGTTTGACTTGAAAGAAGCATTTTTTTGAAGATATGTTTGTAAGCCAAAAAATATTTTTAACAATTTTCCAAAAAACAAAGAAATAAAATATACAATAGAACTTTTAGCTACAAAGTGAGCTAACTAAACTCATGCATTGTAATGGATAATATGCAAATAAATTAATTAATTTTGTTCAAGGAACTACTTGTTAAAGCATAACTATAAAAAAGTAAAAAATGTATTAATGCATTCAAGGATGTACTAAAGTCAAATTTTGAAACAATAGATAAATAAATAAATAAATAAATAAATAAAAATACTAATACTAATAACTAATTAATCAAAAAAAATTAAAAATATTATTTTAAGTCGAATTTGAATTCTTGTTATGAAGATGTATCTTAATAGATAGGAAGAAGTGAATTAAGAAAGTGCTATATAAAGTTGACTATGGGAAAAAAACAGATTCTTGTCGATCCAAACTAACAATGTTGTATTCCATGAAGTTTGCTTAAGAATGCACCATATACTTGGCTATGGAAGGTAAAATAGAAATTGCAACAAAAATGTACTAACAACTCTAATAGAATCCTAAAAAAAATCCAAATAAAACTTAATAATGCTAATAAAACTTTAATCAAACCCAAAAAAAGTCTTCAAGAAATTACAAAAGAAACATAAAGAAATCATAAATTAAATTTAAAAAATATATATATAATAAAAAAAACTTAAAGAAATAATAAAATAAAAATCTTAAAAAATATCAAAGAAATAAAAGAAATATTAGAAATAAAAATTCTAAATAAATATTAACTAAATCCTAAGCAAGTCTTAAACTCTAAAATAAATCTTAATTGAATCCTAACTAAATCCTAAGCAAGTCTTAAATTCTAAAATAAATCCTAATTGAATCCTAATCAAATCCTAAATCTTAAACCAAATCTAAATAAAATCCTAATCAAACCTTAAACTTTAAACAAACTCTTAATCAATATTATAGTAGATTGAGTCATCAATAACTAATAATCTAAACATTGATTTCAACTCAAAATATATGCACCTTTGAATTACTAAGTTGAAAACAAGTACAATAAATCTAAAGAAGATCAAATCTACCAAATAGAAGATAAATCCAAAAATTTGTTTAGATGTTGATCAGCCTCATTCTTCAACCTTGGTACCAATCTCCTAGTGCCAATATCTCTACATTCTATTATTTTATTGCTTTCAAACTTTATAAAGTTATTGAAAATTAAGTTGAATACTATTGTGAAAAAATTTAACTCAATCAAATTAGTAGATTGTTGTATATCTTAGAAACTCTTTTTTATTCTTTAAACTCCAATTCTTGAGACCTTAGTATGTTTGAATTCTAACAACCTTTAAACAAAAAATTAGATTAAGCTCAAAATGTATGACACAAAATTAATACAACACCAATATTACTCTTGTAAAATTTTATCTATAGATCATTTACTAATCTCATACAATTCTTTAAAATATGAACTCTTTATATTTCTTATTTCAAAAACAACCTTGACTTTGCAAAGTCTTTACATAGTCAATGCAAATTCAAATCACTTGAAATTAATATCATAAGAACCTCTCTCAAGAATTCTTTTAAACTTTGCTCTTTAATCAACCAAAGAACCCTATAATTGCTATAAGTACACAATTTTGTGCCTCAAGGTTTGATTTCGACCTAGATTCATAATTGGTCCTCTTTGGATATCAATTCTTAGTTTCATAAGGTAAGTTTTAATAAAAAATACTCTTAACTCCTTAAGAATGTCCATATTAATTATTTTTCTTATGCACTTATATTTTTCTCATTTATGGCTAGTTAAAGTAAGTAGAGGTTTGTTTTACAAAAAGGTAGTATTAACATTTATCAATTTTTACTATCTCTTTGTCTATTATGTATATTTCTAAATTAATTTGCTAGAATATTTTTATTTAATCTTCTTTATAATATAATCTTTTGGTCTTTCACTTAATGGCCATGTTACAATATGACAATGTACTTCACCAATGGTCCTTATGACTTCTTTATTATTATTGCAAATGTAAGACATATTAAAAATTGATTTCTTTTTAAAATAAACAGAAGTTATTTTTTTGAAGAAGTTAATGTAACCACAAAATGAATATTAAGTTTCAACAAATTGGCCTAGAAAAATTCTTAATTCAAGAACTCAATCCATTAATTATGTAATTACCAATTGAGTTCCATTGCAAAGTCCTCAGTGAGGGGCAATATTTCTTAGTAGCATCACTTGAGATCTCATCTTGAGACAAAGCCTTGATCTAGCCATTCTAAATGGATTAAGCAATTAGATAAACATTATTGTTGTTGTCACCATCTTTAACAATAACTTCACCAATGCTTAGATATTCATGTTTTTTTCTTAAAAAGATGGCTAGAGCCTTTTAACTAATTTCCTCCACATTATCTTTTTATCTTGATAAAATAATTTTATTTCTTAAAAAGCCATCATTCACTACACTGTCTTTTGTTAGCCTTGAATAAACATCATCAACTAATAATATTATTTGTCAATGAATAACCATGTAATTAGGAAGTATAACTACATTATTAAGCAAAAAGCTTGTATTTATTTCAAATTGATAAGCAAAAAATAGAAATATTAATCAACTATAATGCAACCATAAAGAATAAAAATGTACCACCATTGTATACAACCTCTATGTGCATTCTATACTTGAAGAAGCCAATTAATAAACTTGATATTTGCTTTGAGTGATTTTTAATTCAATCTCATGTTTTCTTTTAATATAAGAATATTTATTTTTATAGAGAATATGGTTGTATTAGTCAAAAATAGAGAAATAATATTAAAAAATATATTTATAAAAAGTGTGAGTTGCTAATCATAAAATAATGGATTAATAAAAAAATTCCATGTTTTTAAAATTATGTTGCAATATCTATTATGATAAAAAAATTGGTGCAATTATTTTTGAACATAAAAGATGGAGGCTAAAATTCTATTTTTACTAGCAATGCCAATTTGTATCAAACTTTATTTTTTGTTATTATTAATAGGTATGCTTAATGTCATATTTTTTTACTATTAATCATGATATTAGGCAATCTTGTGGAATACTTTAATTATTATAAATAGAATAGAAAATTTGACAATTATACTATATATTGAAAAATATAAAATATTTTATATGGAATTGTGTATCACAACCCACATTACACCTATAATTATTTTGTATTGGTTGTTGAATATAGTAATGTAGTTAGTACAATAAGTTTTTACAAGTTATAATTATAGATTAGATAAACATTACATAAATTTTGATTAAGATAAAAAAAAAAAATATATATATATATATATATATATAAGATAATATTGTTGTAATATATTGTTGGTATTTGAATTGCTAAGTATTGTAGATGCCATATTCATAGTGCTTTTTAGGAAGAATTATCAAGAATGAATAATAAGTCATGTTGGTTGTGATTGATTTCTATAAAGATTTTTTTTGACATTTTGTAGAAGAATACAAAGCCATTTCGTGTTAATATATCATGCCAATGTTAAATACAATCTAAAAAGAAGTATCACTCAAAAAAGAATAATGTATATAGTGTCTATGACTAGGTAAGCAAAAGTATTGTTGAATCAAATTTCAATCAATGTAATTGCTACTTGTGAGAGATATATGATGCATCTCAATATTGTGACTTTTGATATTGGAGTAACAAGATTTGGCAAGACAAAATTTGTGTATAATAACAAAATTGGTATATTTTCATGTAAAGTATTAGAGAAGAGCATTTTAAATCAAAATACTATCATTAATGTAGACTTATTTCTTTAAGATAAAAATAAGTTTAAAAGATGTTAATATAATCCTCATTCCATAAATTATCAAATTAAGGATTTAAAAAAATTATGATGGCCGTTAAATTTTTAAATTTTTTTATAATTACTAATTTTTAATACTATCAATTTATAATTAATACAGATTCTAAATAAAGTATTGTCAAAAATTTCTATGTACTCTTAACATTAAAGCAACCTTAACCATGGTGGATAAAACTTCTCATTATAACAAAAGACCTAAAAACAAATTTAGAAATAATATACATAAGAGGTTATCTTGTTATTTATCTTTTGCAACCATAGTCCAAATCATATCAATCCATTCACTTTCTACTAAATATGCAAAAATAAATATTTGAAATCCACTACATTGAATCTAAAAGTTAAAGATGGTAAAAATCTTATACAACACAAATAACACAAACTTATTATTACTTTAATTATACCTCAATATTGATAATGTATTGTATATTAAAATAAATAATTAATTAAATAAAATCACCCATTTTTTATGAAATGCTTTTATAAAACGTTGTCTCTTTTAAACAATAGGAATTGAACAATAAAGTAATAAAGTAAGCACCATAGTAGCCAAACCACTCTTATTAAGATACCTTACTAAATAGAAAAGGATGTGGAGTGGATGTGTCTTCTATCCACACACATGATGCAAACTTATAGTTTTTTTATAGTAATTAAGTTCTTTACAAGTCGCATTCTCATGTGCACTGTTCAACGACTCCCTCTCATTATCTACTCCATTCTCGTAACTCTTTTTCTTTTTTATAAACATATTTCATGATGTGCGATGAGATGGTCCTGTTAAACCATTTTCAGTTCAGTACAGGAGTTCCTATCGAGGACGTTTCAGCCTTAGAAGGTTTCTCCTACATGCTGGTATCAAACTCAGAGCATGATCAGAAGACCCCATCTTACACATGCAGAATATATTTCTAGAAAATCAAAATAACTAGCAACGTCAAACTAGCTATAACAACTGGAGCATTTCAGCAGGAAAAGCATCGAGAGTCCAGAGTCGACGCTGACATGAGCACTCCTTTTTTTGCTTCGTAAACGACATTGATCGATCGGTTCAATGAAACCAGGAAACTGAACGTTGTCGTCTTCAGATTTCGAGGTCAGTACCGATTTCAACACTTTTTCATGTGAAGCACAAAACGGAATATAGTTGGAGTCTATTGGAGCATTGCGATCCGAGAAAACCCTCCAGAAACATCTACACAATGGATTAGCTTGATTTCTGTAGATATGTTTTTTCGCGTTTCAGATGTTCAAATTCCTGCTAGATTCAGACTTGAGATCTATGTATATGATGCAGATTTGAGAACATTTGACTTGGAGTGTCAGCATCACATATGCCAGTAACTAGAGGTATTCTTGAGCTAATTGTGTCTTAGACATTCAAGCACGAACTTAATGCAAGAGATATAGCCCTAATATACCTTGGACAAGTATGATCAGAGATCATGGTCTTGGAGAGGATGATCCTACCAAGCCGTTCCTTGGGTTCCATGCCACGGACAACCACATACTTGCTTTGTAGGTTTTTCAGAGCTTCTTCACCTGCCTCCGACATCCCAGTAGGAGAAGTAGGAAGCGACATCTTCCCATGCTTATGTTTAAGTCTTTTGATGTGATAGAGGATGCCAGGAACAAAAAGACGGCGTCTCTCAAGCTCCTCCATAGTCATTGAGGTCCTTGTCGCCACAGTCATTACAACTGGAGCAGCAATTTTAATGTCAGATTCTTCAGCATTCTCCTTCATTTTGGGGATGTTCGTACTAAGCTGAACATCAACCGACGTAATACGGGGTTCTTCGATATCGAGGCTCACTGTCCCGGTGTTTAGAACAGTTGTTGCAACGATTGCAGTGCCAGATGCTTCAGCGTCATAATTCCTTGTGGATATATCTATCTTCTCCAACGCTGGACTATCACAAAACAGTCAAATAAGTCACGTTCTTCGATAACACGAGTCAGTCGGTACACCAGTAAATGCATGCTTGAGGGAATGTGATTCGTATCTGCGAATTCCAGATAGCATAAACTTACACTTCTCCACCAAGATACTACTTGTTGAACTAGACGCAGAAGCAGTGTGGAGGTTGCCAAATTTCTGAAATAAAGCTGCTCCTGCTTGTGCGCCGACGGTGGATATTAGGCTGCCACCTGTAGCAAATAAGGTGCCAAAGTTGCTGTGGACATGTCCTAATGCGTCCAACAGTTTCTTCGTTGTTTCGTCCTGAACAACTTCACTCCTAGTAGAGTTTGACAACAATTCTATAAGTAAATCAAACTGCACAAACTCAATAGTGATGGGTGAAAGTAGTAACTGAACACAGCGGAAATATCAAATACTAGGATCGTACGTCAGCAATATCTGACTGGGGATTATACTGGATATGAAAAGACAGACCAGCTTGTTGCTAGAATTTCATTACGCAGAGCCTCAACTGCCGCCGGGGTGATACGCGGTACAATATCATCCTGTTTCAGAATTCCATGATGTAAAGAAGAACGACTGTGAAGCAGGTGTAGAGTGGTTACTCCGCACTAAAAACTTCTTAATTCCTTCTGAAATCTAATCAAGACTCATCAGCTCTCACCGGGTATTTAATAAAATAAGGAAAGATGAGCAAGTCCAAATAAGCACAGATTGTTACTAGCTGGAACGCGTTAGATCTTAATTGGTAGGCTCGTCTTAACCATAGTTCAGGTGTTCATGAGTCGTTAATACTAGTTCCAAGGAATAAGAAAACAAAACCTGGAGGACAATATTGTGGATAAAATTGGATGACTCTGCCAATTTGCGGTCTACACAAGGGGCACATCCATAACCCCAACAGAGAATTTTGGAGGTATTCACTCCAGACTTCTCTTTCGGTATGAACCATCCATCTGTAGCGTGAATTATCATCGCCAAAAGACCACCTGTTGCGGCTCCCAAGGAGTGCCCTGTTACAACCAATTTGTAACCCTGCATCATGTGCAGAAAAATGTTCAGGGAATCTGTGAGAACTCAGTAGCATCACTCGCAAACTTCTGCAAACTGATTCATCACATTTTAAAAAAGAATGATATATATAAAATATTTTAAGTGTTATAAGTTCACATACGAGTTTGCGGAGGAGTTAACACAAAAAACATACAACATGCGAGAGATCCAAACCAGATGCTCTGTAAGAAGACTTTGCAGTATATGGCCCTCATTCTCGAAAAGCCATCTTGCTGCTCTGAGCATGCCTGAGTGTGCAGATCTGGATCAGGGACACACTCGTGTTCACATAACCTCCTGGGAAACACCAGTGAGTAAAGAAATACCTTGACTGAAACTTACACCCCAAGGGGCACAAAGCACAAAACGTAAGCAACATTTTAAAATCTTAGTCAATGAAATTTGAAACACGAGCAATGATATGTATTACTGAGTAGAATTGACTCACCCTTCAAGAAAATTTTCGATATTAGGATTGACGTCTGTGAACATATCTTGTTTCTGATATGTCCCGCGGATTGAGATGACAACGCACCTCCGGTTATGGTGAATCCCGATAAAAAATGCAGGTTTGTTAATGCCAGCGTTTGCTGTCATCTTCACGAGATCCTTAACATTTAGCTGGAAAGTTACAACCCATCCACACAATTATTTTAAGATTCTACACTGCGAAATTATAAAATATTGTGATAAGTAAGCCGATGCAGCAACAGAGTCACTGTTACAGCAAACATTCACCCGATTATCCAAAATCACAGTTACTTGAATCAAAGAGTAAGTCAACGGTCAAGCTTGCGGCAGCAAGTTTGGAAGGACAATGTATGATCAATGCATAACAACAAAACAGTATCATAGAAATTCATTTTAGACATAATGCTAGCAAGATCATGTCAACAGTGATATTACGTCCAATTTGGTTGCAATTGCTTCTTTATCATTTTCATATGCAGCATGAGACCATCGCATCCATTCCAGCATCTCTGCTAATTCATTGCTGCATTTAAAATTATACCGCATACAAACCTGTTGGTTTCTCTACCAAGAAACGACATCCAAAATCCTCCATGAATTTTGTATAATTTAGCCAAGAGAAAACCAAGCAGCTAAACACCTAGACGTCCAACGAGGTAGACTCCACAAAGAAGGTGAATGACGGTCGAATTACCTATCATTAACTTCAATACCATGGGTGATGGTGTCAATGGCACCATTAAAAGCGTGAAGATGGAAGACCTTGAACAGACCTGCAGTCGTGTCAGATACATTCCATCTACTTGTCCCCTGCAAGCTGTCTCTCAAATTTGTAGACAACGTTGTCAATGCGCTGGCAAGTGTACAGGAACCCAAATGCTCCCCTGCACAGAGGTCGCCTGAATCACAAGAATTCGAAACGAAGATCAAAATTCTCTGTTCAAGATTATGCCTTTTCTCTAGAAAGAGCTAAAGAAGGAAGCAGTACATTTTATTTCTGCGTGTTGACAACTGCACATTATTAGTTCTGCTCAAATGAAGAAACTGAGTCTCACAAGTTTGAATCCTTTCAACAAAAGATTCTACGTACTGCTCACATCATGACGTGTATTTCAAATGGCTCGTAACCAGAAGATAAGGATAGTATTAGTATAATAAACTTACAAACTTTCTGCTCTTCCATCGAATATTATTCTTTCGGAAATATATCATAATAGTCTTATCAGAAGCATCAGATCATCTCCAACACTCACAATTGTTGCTTTTGATAGGTGCCATTCTTGGATAGATTCGATTCGGGCATGTCACGTTCTTGAAGCAGACTAGTATTGATCATACGAGAAGATTGCAAGAGAGCAGCTGCAGTAGTGCGAGAGTTGTGCTACATCTGACGATTGGACTCCGCATCGCTTAGTAACTACTTTTCACCGCGTCTGAACGTCCCAAAAGACTTGGCATGATCATGGATCTAGAAGGCTTCAGAAGGATCCAAAAACCCATCTGACGATCTACCTCCTCACCAACTCAAAAAGTGGAGGCAAATCCATCAACTGAGGGTCGCAGTTTCACATCTAAAACAGCATTATCTACACTTTTTCTTTATGTTCTCTGTCATCTGACCTACGAGACTGCAGAGGACATCTCTCTCACATTCAAAGGTGTCAGCATCGTGGCTAAAATCACAACCTCTGATTGCCACAACTCGCTTAACTTGAGAATTTCCCCCTAAAAAGCCCGAAATTTATCCCAAAGTCCATGTACCGTTGAATCGAGATCTCCAATTGAAAGCTTCAAGAGCAACTCTTCAGGGAATGAGAAATCTCCGTTTCATTTTCTTCCCATTTGAAACACCACAGACACGACGGGAAGACAGACTGTAAAACCGTATTGGAGAATGGCCGGAAAGCTTCCTTGTGCTGAAGAAGAACCAGAGATGTCCGTAAGGTCACGATCGAATTCCCGCCAGAGTATAAACACTTCAAAAACTCACAGAAGAACTAAATACTTCATGGGTGCTACGCAGTGAACGTGGATGATCGCTCAAGGTGTCTCCTCATCGCACAAGTCCAACATGACAAGCGTCTATTCCCATCGATTACTTCCACGTTTGTTCACACTCTCGTTCCCTTCAAACGATCATGCGCGTATTCCATCCAATGGTGCAAAAACCTAAAACGTCTTAAAAGCTCGCAACCAGTAAACAAGGAACGTCACATAAGATTAGCCAACCCTCATCGAACGGTTCCATCCTAACTAAGCGAAATAAAAAAAACAAAACAATAATCCACAAATTCTCACGAGCTGCTTCCATGACATTACTATAGACCTGGAATCTCTGTGCTGGTCACGATCAATTCGAACTTTAAATGTTTGCATGCCTGATTTCAGCAAGATCTGTATAGTATTGCAACTCATGGCGTTCCCTCGGTAATTCAACTTCTTAGTCTGCGCAATCACTGCGATCGAAGGAGGAGGAGGAGGTCCGTGTGCCAAAATGCAGAGACTCGACGGCTCGTGCAATCTGTGGACATCTCGCAAGCTTCTCATTTCCAACAATTTATCAAAACTTCCAGAAAAATCTCAAGCTCTGGCAAGTCGCGTCAGGGGTGTTTTCCGCGATGTAGAAGACGACGGATTCAGTCCTAGAATGTGTGCGTTCATGACGCGGATTCTAAACCAAAACTGGCGTGTGAGGGGAAGAAGAAGCTGCCACTTCTCCCTTTGTCTAGTCAGTAGTAAAGTTGATTTAGTGGTATTAGATCAATGATAGTAGGTAGAAAAGTAGATAAAATAAGGTCTAAAGGTTAATTAGAATATAAAACTATTTTATTTAATTGTAATGATTAAAAGACTTATCAACAATAAAATAAAATAAAACATTAAGATGGAAGTATTAAGTGTTGTTTGTAGGGAATTTGAATCTAATTGAAATAACTTGTTGTTTCAAACTTAGGCACTTGATTTATACACGGTTGTGGTAGGCTATAACAAATAAAGTATGTGCTTATAAGGTCATGTGTATCTTTGTGTAAATAATGCAATTTGCATGTAATTTTTTTGAGATTAATTCATCAATTTATTTAATTGGTGTTATTCTTTACATAAATGTTTTCTACATTATTTTACAAAATCATGGTTTAAAAGATCACAGCGATTATAAGATAAAACTTTCCAACATTAAATAGAATCCTTAGATCTTATTTATACAAACTAGTTTTATGTCTTGTTAAAAACATATATTATTTATTTTAAACTACTATAATGTTTACAATAAGTATAGACTTTAAGTTTTAACATTTTGAAGTGATTTAAGAAGTTTTTTTCACTTAATTAAAAGTGTTGATTTCAATTTCAAAACACTGTAATTCTTATATATATATATATATATATATATATATATATTCTTAAGTACTTTAATTTTATTTTACACTACATTAAAGTAATAACTTTCATATGTCACATTTAAACATTCTATTTCTTTTTTTAAATATTGACAAAGATAATCTTAAGTTATTAATTTCTACCAAAAAAATTAATTTGGAGAATAGATTTGAAAATAATAATACAAAAAAAATATTTTTTGAAATATATCATTTTTAATAATAACTAGCTATGTCTGTATAGGCAAAATGTTTAATATAATATATTATAAAATTTTCACATTGATAAATAAATAAATATATATATATATATACATATATATTCAAAATATTTAACGTAATCTAACATAAAATTAAAAATACATATATATATAATAGAATCTATCATGAAAACATAAAAAAGTGATTTTCTATATATATATATATATATATATATATATATGTATACACTTTAAAATAAACAAAAAATTAAAATTTTACAAATATGTTTGTTCCACGGATATTATAGTTTTTAATTTTTATTTATAACTGTAAAGTCAATTTAATTTTGTACACTCTGAGATTTTGTATGCAACAAAGTACAATGAAACAGTTATTCACGAAAAATACTAGTGTGGGATTCCCAAGAAAATCTATTAAACTTTGCCACAACCGCTTTCTAATTGCACTACAAAATTACTTGTTTACAAGAAAAAATAAAAAAAAGTTAAATAAAAATCCTTCTTTTGTGCGCCATGCCATTCAAAAAGTGGTGAATTAAAATAATTAAATAAATAAAATGTTTAATGACGTGTCATTTGACAGTTTGTGGAATAGACCCACTACCGCGTGTTCGAAAAGTGGGCACCGGCGCCCGCGCAGTCGCCCGCTTCCTTGGAAGGATTGCGCCTTGCTTCGATGGAGCAGAAATGAGGTTGCCGGGGAAATTGTGGCGCCGCCCAATCGAGAAGAGGAGGAGTGTTTCGATGCTGCTTCCAAGTGCCGTGCAGGTTGCGAGCCTGGTCGAATAGATGACAGTAGAGTGCTCAATTCAGCAGGTTCAAGGTTTCAATACTTTTGCAGGAGCTGAATCAGCAATTTGGCGCTCCAGATTTGCTCTGCTTTTTTCTTCTTTTAGTACTTTGAAAACACGTGTAATTGTTTTGTTTCCACAGCCAAAGAATTTCTTATCCTTTTTGTTTTGTCGTTATTTTCTCTTGTTTTTTTTCCCCTCCCTTTCGAGTGCATCCAGGCAATGATCAGCCGTGGGCCTTTTAGAATGTTTCCTGTACACCGAATTGCCGCTCGATAGGGAATCGCAGGAGCACTCAGCAATTGATTGTGTGGATGAACCGAAGTGGGAGTTGGAGTGGAGTTGGTAGTGCAGTGGCAGATCTTAATTAGTCTTGCGCAGATTCCTCGCCCGTGAGAGGTTTAGGGTTGATCTAGCGAAGGCGCTTTGGTCGAAATCCGACCAAAAGTAAGTGTGCGGGTACATTCACCAGCTGAGTGTGCAGGGAAATCCCCGCAGTACGCTCTGTACCGAATTTCTTAGCATGTGCACCGTACTCGCTATAAATAACATATTGCAATCGTTCATCTCTTGCCTTCAATTCCCTCCCCAATGTGGAGTTATTGCCAAATTTAGCAGGATCAGTGGGACCGGGCGAGCCAGATCCCTGGTCGGGGGCTTTACTGGAACTGGGTTTTCCGAGGTTTGTCAAAAGCATCCCTCTCCCATCGAGGGTTTCTCTACTCTGCGGTGATGGCGATGAAACTTATAGTTGTCATTTCTGCTTGCTAACGATCCGATTTTCTCTATTTGATATGCTTGATCTGTACTTACTCTATGTGGTTTCAGGGTAATCAGTTTTAGTTTCTGAGTCGTCAACACCATGACAACGCCACTGCATATAACGTGCTACTACGATTTCAAGTAAGTGTGATTGATGCTTCTGTTGTTTTGGAATTTGAATGAGTAGTGATAACAGACAGATAATATATATATATATATATATATATATACATATACATCAATGAATTTCGGAAATTTTGGAATTTTGTGGTTTAGTTGAATGCAGAAGTGTAGGTGGATCCAGTTGTTGCCTTGAGGGTGACTTTGCGTGAGGTTGGCTTTGGTGTACCTTAGTCAGAGTCAGTGATCATGTTGTGATTGTGGTTGGATTTTTTTCCCGGTCGCACTGAGCTCCTGCGACACGTAATCGAATAGGGATTTAGCGGACGTTTGGGAGGTGGGCTCTGAGTTGTGGCTCAGAGCGGTTCTTTCCTAAGAATGCTTCTCCGGAAATTTTGGCTGAGTTACTTGCTGGTCAAAAAATCTTGCGGGGTCTTTGCTACTCAAGTTTCGACGTACTCCACGAATTTAGGGCTTAATTCTTTGGTAGAGTCTGGAGTTTGTGGCTGCTGTGTGTTGAATCTGTCGGCTTGTTTGTCGTTGCTTGCGGCTATCCAATATGGCAGCTCTGCGCGCACTTTTTTATGATCAGCTTCCTTCAAATTTCAGGTGCTTCAGGAATTTTTATGAAATTATTGTTCCTTGTACATGAGCTCAAATTCCTGTAGGGGTTGTAGATTTTACTAATGGCACGTGTTATCTCTAAATGCCTATGTACACGAGGATTTTTTTCTTTTTTTTTCTTTTTCTTTTTCTTTTTCTTTCTCTGCAATGCACTTAAGTACTTGTCCGAACTCTACGAAAACTCGAGATTGACATAAACACTTAGATCGCATGAGCGTTTATAAACTCTATCAGGTTGTAACCTCCACTCTTTCGCAAAAGGAATCATCTTGGCTGCAAATAGAGTTCTTCCAAAACGCTATCGGCGTATTCGTGCCTTTACTGATCGAATACCCATGCACTTTCCTGTAACGAGAAATCACTGTAACATTTTGCAATCCTCTAGTTTGGTCTGACTTGCTCTACATTTGTGCATGGCGTCCTTAGGGCATGGGTCAAGAAACACCAGCGATCGCTGCTGGTTGCAGCTGGGCTGGTGGGAGGAGGATCGGCAGTTTATTACGGTCTCCATTACCTAGGATTGACTTCACAAGCACGAAAAGAAAGAGATGCTGCACGAGCTGCATTGTTGCATAGGGAAGCTGAAGAACGTGCTGAAGCTCAGTATGCTCACTACAACTCTAAGCGTCATCTGCATACGTTTACTTGGAAAAATTGACACATGTTGGCAATTAACGATTAGATCGAAACGATTCTTTTGTTAATAATTTTTCAATTCTCCAGCGTTCGCAGCGTTGAAGAATGGCTGCTTAATACAACTATGACTGTTTTTACTCTTTGCAAAATCATTAAGCTCGGAAATGGTTTCAGGTTGCAGAGCCACTTTGAAAGCATTCAGAGGATATCAGACACTACAACATTACCGTCAGTATTACCGCAGTTAAAAGCTAGCCTATTCTCTAAGGTTGACCTTTCAGGATTGACTGAGAAGCTGATTCTAGGCAAAGATGACCCTCAAGCATTGAGTCAGAGGGATAAGATGCAGCTATGGCAAGAACTGAAGACTCTAAGTGAGTTGCAACTATTTCCAGTCAATTCTTTTACCATTGAGTTGTAACTGCTGTGAGTCTATCAACGATTGTGTATGCTTTGGTGGGTATTCAAAATTGTGAACATAATGCATTGAATATGATGCTTTGCTCTCCGATTTGCCTCATCGGTTTTTTTACTCTCTTCCAGCAATATATTAAGTTTTTTTAGTTCATAAGGTCGTTTAGTATTTTACTTGAATATGACATACTTTAGATATTCTACTGTTCTGCATTCTATTGACGTGTACCTTTTCCTTTCTCAAACGCGTTTATGTAGGTTTCACTCGCACAGTGTGTGCAATGTCAGCACTCAGTTTGCTGGACCTTTTCATTCGAATTCAACTTAACATCTTGGGGAGACGTGTATATTTTGACACCGCTAGGGATTTTATGAACCCTGAGGTGCAGAATTTTGGATATTGCTCATGCATGTGCTATATTACGCGTGGCAGGAGACTTATTTTTTGCAGCTCTCAGATATCTCTATAGAATGATTGATGTTCATTCCCTCATTTTAGATTTTTAGTAGCTTCTTTCTATCATAAGCATTTTCAACAGAAACAGAATCCAGTGTCATCAAAGAGAGGCTTCATACTGATGTTTCACGTTAGGCGCCTTTGCAGGATTTGCATGCGCCGTTGTCCATGAGCGTCCAACACAAGTTTATTGCTTTCGCTGGATATTTGCATCACAAGGGTCTAGCTGCTCTCGTTGGAGACATTTACAAGGCTGCAGAAATTGAACTAAGAGGGTATACTTTTCTCGGCTTAGCGTAACTATGCTAATTTTTGAAGTAGCTCTATGTGGAAACCCCACTATTTTTTCAAATTGTCCGTCGTTTGAAAGCTTCACAGACGTAACAAGGAATAAGCTCTCAAATCACTAAGGTATTCTTAGTCAGTTGTTAGTTTAGTACCCTGCGATGGATGGAACCATCGACTGTGAATGCTTCAATTGGATTGACTGTTATTTCTTGTGGTATTTTTCAGCAAACAATTGAAGGAGTCTTTCACATTATACGATCTTAAGAATGTCTTCGTGAGAATTCTAGCAACCTTGGATAGCAAGAGACCAGCATGGGTTCAATATGTTCTCCCGCCAGATAATGTTTTGCCAGAAGACTTGGCAGGTGCCTCTTCAGCTGCAGATGCATCAAATCAATTTGCTGATGTGGCGACTAGCGACAATGAGGTACTTGATCAGCTCATGAATGAAACCAGGGCAGTTCTAGCAAGGTAATCACTCACAGGCATGCTTGATCAGCAATTGGTAGTTGGAATTGAGCCCCTTGTAATCAATCTATATCAGCACTATTTGAGACAACGGCGCATGTATTATACAATTTTTGTTGTTTGACAATGTGACTGTTGAATTTGCTAAACAGCAACGAGTTTCACGAAGTGCAAGCTGTCTGTCTGGAAGTTATGTTGGATGGAGTCATGGAAGAGCTTTATACAATTTACAGAGGATCTTCGGATAGTGGTATCCCTCTAGCGAAACTCCTTCCTCCTGTAGCAGGAGCTGGGTCTACTCTTTTGGAGCATCCTGATGAAAATCGCTTTATACGCATATTGGCGAGCTTACCACAAGTGCATGCTTTTTGTGCCCTGGTGTATACTAATTCAAGCGAGGAGGCTGCGGCATGAATTGAGTTGTGCACTATCAATCGTGGTTTGTATACAAACTGGTTCTAGGATGTCACGCAATTGTTAACATCACATGTTTTCACAACTTGCTCTGTTGTGAGTTATTAAAGGGTTATGTGAGATGTTCAGAGTAAGTGTGTGTATGTGTGTGTGGGCGCGCGCGCACACGCACGCACGATCGCAAACATATATTAACCTAATGTAACCAAACTCAATATTAACGTACATCTCCCTTCCGGAGAGCAGAGGTACGTGATCATATTATGTGATTGTGACATTATGGATTTTTTAATGACATGGTTTTTGATCAACAGCCAATAAGTTAAGGTGGAATAAACTCGTTCAAGATGAATTACTAAAGGTTGGAGAAAGTTATAATGGACTTACTACATTCTTTTAAGGGTCTTTCTGCCTGCAGTACACATGTTGGACTTGCTCTGTTCAGCAGACATCTCAAGGTAGTTTTTCAACGCTTAAGTTCACTTCTAAATGCTCATTTCAATCATCAAAGTAAGCGTTCCAACGTTGTGTAATATGTTTTGTCTTGATTTTTTGGCTTCTTGTTAATTTCTTGTTTTGAAACCTTTCTTCACACTGATTCTGTATCTTCAATCCATCTTTTTGTTGCAGTATTGCCAGAATTCGGAGCTGAAGATATGAAGTGAGACACCGAAGCACTCTTTAGCTGAGGCATAGCTCCCTGGCCGATTCAACAGAGGCAGTTCTGAATTTTTTTGAAAAGCTTCAAATAAGGTGTAGAATATAGCATGGAAATAATAACCAAATTTTATTTTATTTATTTTTAAAAAAAAAAAACATTATTTGCACTTTATGAGCAGAGTGCTACGTTGGGCATGACAATACCCAAGGTTCCCGTATCCGACGCAATCACAGACTCTTTATTTGAGATTCATTGAGTAAAGCGAAGGGCTGTAAAAATAGAAACACAATCTGAAGTACACTGACAACTTTGAATATTACACACACCAGCGACTGGATAAGGATTGGATGGTCATCTATTTATGGTGTCAGCCTTAAAAGTTGCTTTGGCAAGTCCTTTTTTTTCTTTCTGAATGGGAGATTACTATTGGTGATGGTGGACAATCCCTTTACAACACCTTTACAAATTGAATTTATAATGTGGGTTTTTATTTTATTTTTTAAATTTAAATTTTTTTTTTTTTTTTGAAACGCACTTGGGTCCCACGGTGCCACTCAATTGCTTCACAGTGGAGTTTCTAATGGAGGTCTCGGACAAAGTAAACCTTCAGTCATGGATTAGGTCAACTCACTCACTGATGTAGGAAGGACAAATTTGCATGATCAGAAGCAGCTCACAGGCAGGTGAATAGATGGTGGTTGTGGGTCATCACCATTGGGCTTCCTGAGCGGAGTGCCCAACAAAATATATATTACACAAAATTAGGGCACCTTTTTTATGGTCAATAGGGAAGGCAACAAAATTGCAATATATGCAGCTTGTGATTGGCTGAAGTTGAAAAGTATTTTTTGATTGAGTTTGTGCTGGGGATAATCAACTGGAAAATTGTGAGAAAAGATTGGGGGTAGAATGCGTTTTTTTCTCACATAGCTTGAATAATGTTCTTTCTCAAAAGACCATGTTTAACTTAGTCACTACCAAGTTACCTGGTTACTGGGATGGGCCAAGCTAGCAGCAGCAGCGCTAATGAACTTGACCCACACATGGCTGCTGTGGTGCCGTTTTTTGCTGTTTTTTTAATTGCACTGATTGGTATATTATGTGTGCTTTTTTAATTTTAATTTTAATTTTTATTACTTGATTGGCTGCTAAAACATACTTGATATTGGCAAAGCCACTGGTTTAACCACTAGTACTTATATAGCAAGATGAAAGATCACAACTTTAAAATTCTTACACTTGCCTTCAGCCATGTATGTGTGTACGTGTGTGTAACAATGAATGATAGGCTTTGACTGTTCACCACCAAAGTAGACATATATATATATATATATATATATATATTGTTTTGACCGAAGCGAGAACCTGGCCGAGCGCTGCGCCGGATCCCACGTCAGCATAGGCGGCGCTTACGTGGATAGAGGGAGATTTGATGATTGGTGCCAGGTCACCGAAGTCCGTTGACCTTTCTAATCTATGTGAGGGGAGTTGATCTGTGGACGTTGACCTACTCGGCCCCATTTTCAAGGGGGGGCTGCCAGTGCTTCAGTGAATACATATATATATATATATATATATTTATATTTTCACGCATATGTCCTTGTAACATAGTGTATGAGATTGTTTTTAAGCCTTCTTTAAGAATCGGTAATCAAGTGAATTATTGTTGAGTTATTCTGGATGCAAAAATTACTGTGGATTTTATCATTACTCATTTGTGTTTGTGAAATGTATGTATGCAAGAATGTATGTATGTATGTATATGATGTTAGATGTAAACATATAAAAATATAAGAATTTTTCCATGATTCATTTAGTTGAAAAAATAAAATAAAAAGATAAATAAAAATTCATCAATTCTTCATGACAAACATTGGTCAAATTTACAAAATAATTTATTCAAAACTTACCTGAAGCTTCTATTTGATTTTTAAATTGCGAGATATATATATATATATATATATATATATATATAGTTATATTCTTAGTAATCTTTCATAAGTCATATATTTTGAAAATTGACAGAATTTTTGTTTTATGGCTTGAATACACACATTTAGGATATTTAATACATTAGAAGGGATACCACAGTAGCAAGTAAATGTAGAGATACCCAACCAATGACTTAATTAAGGCTTGTGAGATTCCACTGATATTATCTATACATACCAAGATTAATTTATCTACAGACTGTGAAAAGAATTATGTAATGGAAATGATGGCAATAAAATAATTGCCAATTACCTATGATTAAATCCACTTGTAAAAATACATTTCATAATCACTTGGTTTTTAACAGGTGGGATCTAATTACTCTCTGATAAAAAGCCACACAGATATTTACAAATTAAAAAAATATTCATACAATATACTTTTTTTTAATAATAGAAGTTTAATATATCATTTTCTTCTGATGTTATTAAATTCTTGGTAAACCAACTTATTCCTTAAATAATAAGTCAAAGTCAAAGCAGTATCCAACAATTACTACTCTATGTGTGGGTGAATTATAATTCTTATAACACAATGTTAAAGCAAGATGTAGAAGTTTATAACCATGCTATCTATTAGAATATTTGATTTAACTTCTTGAATTTCTCAGTATATAAAAATCCATATACATATAATCCATTATTTAATAAATTTTGGATTTAATACGTCCTTGATTTCGGATCACGGATCTTACTATATTTTTTATTTAACTAACTAACTAACTAAATAAATAAATAAACAAATAAATATATATACTTTGTGTTTTACTTTAAATATCAGTTTAATTCTTTAATTATGAATTGGCAATAAAAATGTTAATAAGTATGTGTTTTTTTAGCCTTTTGGCTCTACTTGCAACGCGGGTTGCAGCTCAAAGGACAAAAGGCAACTAAGGCAGGGAATAATGAGATTGCGAAACGGGAAGGGGAGAACCTCGACGACGATGACGAAGGCCTAGTGGAAGTGGAGGAGGAGACAAATCGCGGAATGAATGGCGGGGCATTGGGAGGAGCGGCGGCGACGAGGATGATGCTCTGAGTGAAGGCAAGCACATGCGTGCTCGTTGCTCGCCGTGTCCGCTCTAGGCAATCACGCCAGGTCGGTGTTGCGGAAGCTGGTGGTGTCAGGGAATGAGTTGACGACAATAACTCTATTCTCGGACTGGTCAAGAATAGGAAATCCTCTCGGCATTGCCCATTGTCTGACACTCCTCAATTTCGGCGTGTGGACCTCGTTTCCTCAGCGGTTTCTCTGCTAGCCATGACCTTCTTGCCCATCCTGCCTCCTCTGCCAGCTAAGTTCTCGCACTGGGCCTGAGTTGTCTTGGCATTGTCTTCTGGAGCTGTGCGAGGGTGGTTGGCGCGCCATGGTTTGAGTCGTCGTTCGCTGATTGAGGTATGGATTTTTCTGATTTCGTGCCGGGTATTTTATTTTATTTTATTTTATTTTTGAAGAAACGGCGCTCAGGCTTGGGCCGTGAGTTTTTGGAGGATGCGTAGTTGGAGTGGAATGCGTGTGGACGTACTTGGGATGCAGCTGTAGGGAGGGCGTCGGAGAGGTAGTGGAGATGACATGGTAGAGTGTTGAGCTTGGCCGTGTAATCTCATGTTTTCGCTGAGACGAGGGTGCGTTTCATCGAAGTTGGACCATTCTGAGAATTTTTCTTTCTTTCTCGCGCTTCCTATTCCTGACCTTCGTACTCTGAAGTCTGCCTGTTGCACGGGAGAAGTTTTCAATTGTTGCAAAGACTATGCAAGGTCAGAGGTTCCACTGAATTTCGGGGATGCTTTGTGGTGAGTTTTAAGAAAGCAGTGTGTCTTTCAGGACATCGCCTGCAGAAACGAATGGCCTTTGTCTCTATGTGCAAGCTCTTATGGAGTTCATTGGTTTTCACAGATTGGATTCCATCTGTTCTGTGTTGAGTTGCTCTTGTGCGTTCACCTTTTTTTCGTGACCGTAAGCCTACGCACTTTCTTTTCGGAAAGCTGTGCTGTCGAGAGGCATCAGAAAGCTGCACCGTACCCCTCGAAGTGCGACATTTTTGATGAACGAGTTATTTTGAAAAATTTGCAGGCAGTTGTCACACCATTTATATAACAACCAGTTCCGGCGTAATCATAGTCACATCAATGCGCTCTAAGATTCTTAGGGTCCAGGTCCCGCTAGGATCACCCCAAGAACATCGTTCAGAGTGGGATTCGTTTGAAAAGTGGCGGGAGTCCGATAGAATCTCGACATTGCCCTAAGAATTGTAGGTTGTGTGTATTAAATTAAAAATGTGTTCATCTTCCAGCTTAGGGTTGCATACTTTTCTCCTTTATTTTAAAATTTAATAAATCATAATATTAGCGGCTCTCAGCCTTATGTGCAAGCTTCCCCGTGAATGTTGTTAGCTGATCTTTTTTTTTGTCTCAAATTATTTAGTTGCTGTCTCGGATTCCAGGGGGGTTTGACATTACACTTATGAATGAGCCCCAAATTCCTCCAAAGAATATACCGTAGGGTTTGAAATTGGCACGTTGCTCTACACCTGGATTTAACTTCCGCAAAGCGTGCAGTTTGACTTCTTATCCTCCGTGTGGCTTGACCCAATTGAGTCTGGAAAGCAGGCAGTAGAAGTTATTTAGATTCACTTGAGAATAAACAATAGTCGGACCGTTGTGAACAATTTGGATCAAGTTTCAGGATTGGAACTGACATAATTTTAAAACGCCTGGCCTTCAAATGTCTTTGTTCTGATTGGGGAGCGTTTCGAGGCTATGTTAGTTCATGTATGTGTGTGATATGGGCACTAACTGAACTATTGTAATGTGCTGTTGCAGTTGCCTCACTCTAGAGGATTGTCAAGATGTGCACAGGACCGGGCTGTCGAGTTAATGCGGTAGTCCTGCTATTAGTGCCATGCCTTGTCATCACAGCAACAGCTTACCCACTTTGTGCAAAAAATCTCGGTATGCAACCGCTCTTTCAAATCTTGTGCGTAATATTCATACTCATTCGGTTTAATTTGCCACTTAGCTGGTTAATATCAGTCGAAATGTTCACAGGTCTGCACTTCGCAGTATCTCCGACAGGGGCTGTAGTGCTTGATTCTTTGTCAATTTCAATGTACAACTATGTTTTAGGGTAAAGAGACGAGTTGATGTTGGTAATAACTTTTGGAGCAAATCTCAGTTCCAGTAATCAATAGTTTTCTGCAAATTTTCTACGGCATGCATGTTAATTTGTGAACCAGTCAGTTGATGCATGGTCTTTACGTTGCAGAACCGCCTGGTCGAGCAAACCTGACGTTCTGCACAGCGCCGGAGTATGCAGCAAATGGATGCTGCAACTCTCGTGATGATACCCAAATCAAAACCACCTTCGACGCTATGAACATCTCAAATGCAAAATGTGCAGCTGTAATGAAGGCGATTTTGTGCTCAGTAAGTCCTGCATTTCACTACTTTGACTTGGGTCGGATTTTTAGTGCCTGGATTTCATAGTCATCAGTGGTTTATGGTGTTGCTTTATTTACGAGGATCAGATGCATTACTCGCACATGATCTTCAGGATCTTTTGATTTTGTTCCTGTGGACATGTTAGAGTTCTTATCACCAAGATACATGATGTTACTGTTTGCTTACAGAAATGTGACCAATACTCGGCAGATTTATATGATGTTACTTCAGCGCTTTCTAAGCCGAGACCAGTCCCATTCTTATGCACCAGCGGCGCCAACAACTACTGCAATCAAGTTTGGACTGCCTGTGAAAATGTAACTATACCAAATTCGCCTTTTGAGCCAGGCCTTCAGGAGCGTGGGAACAGCACTTCTAAGGCATCAGCTTCATTGGCATCATTCTATAAAAACAATGATACATCTTTTTGTATAAGTTCAGCTGCTCCTCTTGCGGCTGAAAATGTTTGCTTTGCTGGCACACCCATGAAGGTTGCAGAGCCTGTATCTTATACTCCCCCAGCTGGGATTTGCCTTGAAAGACTGGACAATGCCACCGAACCAACCGGCAAAGGATACTACCTAAATCTTATTCCACACCCTGATGGATCAGATCGCGTGTTTGTGAACACCCAGAGTGGGCTGATGTACATGGCAAACGTATCACAACCAGGCTCCGGAGGACCTTTCATCATCGACTACTCGGCGCCCTTCCTGAATATTTCGCATCGAACCACTAGTAACGGCGAGCTCGGGTTCATGGGCATAGCCTTCCATCCAGACTACCTAAATAACGGTAGGTTCTTCATCTCCTACGACTGCGACAGCAGGAAATGGCCAGATTGCCTTGCTCCATGTGGCTGTAGCAGCGTGAATCGTTGCAATATCTCTGCATTAGGGGCCAACGCATGTCAATATTCAGCCATTGTGGCTGAATACACAGTCAATGCTTCAGGGACAACACCAGCTACGGTACTTTTTTTTTCATACTGCAAAATCCTCTGCATACACCACACACACACACACCACTTCTCCTTCTCCTTCTCCTTCCTTCTAATTTTTTTAAGTGAATTTATTTAGTCAATGATTGATACTGAATAGATCCATTTCTAGGCGAACTTCCAGCCACTAATTTTTACCGTCATTTGTGTTAGTTCGAAATTGGATGTATTGTGATGCCATGTCAATAAGAAGAATTGTCCGATGCAGGCACTGCAAGCGAATCCAGAGGAAGTGAAGAGGATATTTGCATTTGGTCTTCCATACGAGAATCACCATGCTGGAGGTCTCTGGTTTGGTCCTACAGACAAGTATTTGTACTACCCACTAGGAGATGGAGGTTCATACGATGATCCATGGAACAATGGCCAGAATATAAACATTCCGCTGGGGAAGATGATGCGCTTAGATATTGACACTCCTCCCAGTAAGCTTGAGTGAATCCTAAAACCTTGTGTGAGTTTGGATAATCGACACTTTTGTTATTTTGGATGCTTAGTTGTAAATAATAACTGGGCGATCAATGTGTTGCTTGCACAGGTAGTACAACGGGTTTGTATGGGAACTACACCGTCCCGAAGGACAACCCATTTGTTGGAAGGAACAACTCGCGAGGAGAGATTTGGGCCTACGGATTGCGAAATCCTTGGCGCTGCAGCTTTGACAGGAATCGTCCGTCATACTTTTATTGCGCTGATGTTGGCCAGGTCATCACTCTCTCCTTACTTCCTTTCTCTGAGCTTCTTCAGGTCTTCTATTTGTGCAGAATGCCCGAGTCCAATTCAAAAAGCCTTAAAATCAGAGTAAGCAAAGTGCTTTTCAGACCTGCAGTCAAAGTGAATTGCCTCTCACGAGCTGTCACTTCCTGCAGAACTTGGTTGAAGAAGTCGACTTGATATCGAAGGGTGGAAACTATGGGTGGCGGATTTACGAAGGGACGATGACCTTTCAACCAAGCCAGTCGCCGGGGGGCGTTACAGCTAAAAACAGCATTAATGCAGTAATGCCTATTATCGAATACAACCACAGTGCTGGAATTTCTATCTGTGGTGGCTACGTTTCGTATTCCAGACAAGATGCTTGTGCTTATGGAAAGTAAGGACGATACTTCATCTCCTAAGCTTCCTTTTGTTAGAAAATCTCATTTTCTAGAAGGATTCCAGTGGTGTCTAGCATTAAACAGGAAAGGTCTCTAATGAATTTATACATTATGTGACAGGTACCTTTATGGCGATCTAAATGGGGTAATGTGGTCCGCATATGAAAACCCACCTCTGAGTGGCAAATACTCTGTTAGCAACTTGCCCTACAATTGCTCGTCAAAAACGCCAGTGCCTTGCAATCCTGGTGCTTCTTTAGACGGAATCATATCTTATGGTGAGGATAGCAGAGGAGACATTTATGTTCTCGCTGTGAATGGACTATACAGAATGGTGAGCCCAGATTTGTGTAACATTGAGTGTACTGCAGTGTTGCCGCCTGCTCCAGCTCCAGGTCCCGGAAGCTCCCCGCCTGGGCGCTCCAGTGCGTCATCCATCTTCGTCCTTTTACGAAACAGTGCCTTTTGTGTGGTACTTGCATTATGTGCTCTTGTTTGGCTTTGAAGTCATACAAGTATTTCCACAAAATGGGCAGAGTCGGTACATACAGTAGATCAATCAAATAAACCTCAGTCAAGCCTCCCTCAAGTGTACAATATGTTATTGGAAAGAATACCAATTGATCATGATATAGATCCAAGTTCAAGTGAGTCTGTATCTTGATCGCCCTATGAGGACAATCTGAACATGACATGCATCCGTGGCAATACAGTTTGCGGATTCCCAAGTAGGGCACTTTGCCAGCTAAAAGCAAGTCTACAATCAAGTGCCAATTATTAGCGCCTCAAGTTACATACATTGATCGGTGCTCCGTGGTCAGGCAGTGGATCTTCACATCAGAAAAACCATGGACAGGACACGGAAGTGATGAGTGAACGTCCCCTTGCACACAATCAAGCAGCAAGCAGGATTGGGATTGAACCTACTCAGTCGTGGGGGGTTTATTTTTTCACAGTATATCATGCACAATATTGCAGTTGAATGCTGGAAACTCACTGTAGACTAAATTTCTCACTGGTAACAATTCATGATAGTAAAATATTGACGCCAAATCCAGTCTTCACTTGGCGTTGACATCCATTCCTGTCACTCACGCTCTGGAATCTATGCCACAAACGAGTTCACCGTAAACGACGATGCATACTGATGTATGAGATAGTGAAAGAGGGGCCTTCACTGGAGTTTTAGTTCTGACCTCATGTCTACGAGAAAACTGCTGCAATGTTGGGGTAACAGGTAGTGATTCCTCGAAAACCTAATTGCTGCAGCTCAGCCTACACAATGCACGCCTCCTGTCTTAGTCAGCGGAATATCAAGAAACAATGTGTTTCCATCCAGTAAACTATGTATAATACACTCAAATTCATATCCTGTTTACCGGCCGTGCCAGGGGGCATACCCTATTTCTGTGCAATCTACAAATTGAATTTTCCATGTCGTGATCGAGGCGTCGTTGACGTCACTAGAAGTCGAATCGAGAAGCCATGCTTGATACGTACAATCAATCAAAGTCGTGTGCGGCTTGCCACGTGTTCTCGCCGCGGAAAACAGAGTGAAAACGAATGCAGCAGGTCAGATCCCTACTAGTCGCATGCCTGTTAGGCGAAGGATTCCGTACATTCTAAGTGCTTCCAGTTGAGAGGCATACAATGGACCATGTCTAACTTCCCATTTCATATCGTCTTCTGCAATCTTTGCCTCAACTCGTAAGTGCCGATAGCAGGTAGACCTGCTGACCAGTCTTTGCCCTTTGCACGACCTGCACGTGCAAAATACTTTTTGATTGCTTCCACTTGGATTATCTCTGGCAATCACAACTCCGCGGGCTTTCAGGTTGTAAGACCTCCTCCGCGAGCTCTGCGCAGAAGGTGATGACCTTCGAGGGGGTTTAGATGTTGCCTCTCGGGCAGAATGAACGTAGCCTCGTCGAGCACCACTGCTGCAATAGCGGCTGTCTGCGGAGCTAGTGGTGTCACTAGCCGCGGTGGTCAGTAGAGAAGATTCCGACATGTTGAAGTGTATGGTCGCTAAAAATTCGCTGATTTCTAAAGAACTAACAACCTGGGAAAGAAGTACGTCGTTCTTCCAGATTCCTTCGAGAGCCTCAATTTAGATTGAACATGAGTCTTCCATGCCAGTTTGGAAAAACATGCCCTCTGAAGCTAGGAACACACAAGGGCAAGACCAATATGAGGAAAAGGGCTGCGTGCGCAGGCGTGCAAATTCCGCGTACTATACTTCAATACCGCGAGTTGCAGAAGAAAGACGCAACAGAATAATGCTTATGATTACCACTTCATCCCAGAAACGATTGATCACGATGCTGACGAGTTACATTCCACAAACCTCCCAAAAACAACCAGACACCTTCTAAGCTACAAACTACAAATTCCTCTGACTCCTCTCCCCTGCTTCCACCCACAGCCCAAACACACTCCTCAATCTCACTTATCTTTCAACCACTTGAAAGCCCTCGACACAATCACCCCGCAACTGCAAGAAACTCTACCTTCCTCAAGTCTTCAATTCTAATTCAAAAAAAAACCTCGAATCGGCCGAAACGGAGAGAACGAATCCAACCCTGAGAAAACACCTTCACTACTAAACCCACAAACACTCCCCAAATATACAAAAAACACATACGCACACAACAAGTCGCACAAGACGTCAACAACTCAACTGAAAATCTCTACAACTTATGCATGATATGTATGCAGCCCGTTTGAATAATTGTCTTCGTGGGAGAAAGGGGAGTAGGCCGCAAATTGACGTGAGTTTCGTTACACAAAGGCTGACAACATCGAAAGTGGAGGTGAGGCGGATCTGCGCGAGTGGGCACCACAACAATGATCGAGTCGAGTTGCTAGAAGCAGAGCAATATTATTAAATCCATGAGGGTTGCAGCGGCAAGTTGTTGACGTGTCCGCCACGTCGCCAAGAAGAGGGGGGTCGGTAATCAGGTTGTATCCCACTTTGTATGTCTCCGTATTCCAGATGGTATAGCGGGATGCCAGTCTGATGGTATTACCGTGGTAAGCGGGGCCTGGAATATGTATGCGTGTATGTTCATGTGTATTGCTTGTCCACATCTATATATATGTATATAAACATACACAACAGTGGAGTCAGCATGCTGCCCCATATACAAATCATCTTGCCTCTTTGTTAACACTGTTATCCCATGGCTTTCTTTTCAGCTCTACATAAATATGTATACTTTCTTGTATACGTATATGTGTACCACAGTGGTGGAGTGCTGGTAATAGTCCCCTTCTGCAATGAATCCAACATCATTAGGTTTGTGCCAAGCAAGAAAATTCAGAAACTGGGACAAATTTTCTGTGCTTGTGTCAAAAAAGCATGCAAAAGACTGATTCTCTCTTGTATTCAAATTTAGTCTGTCTTGACACCAAGACCCCAACATTTGACAACCTTTTCAAGAGGTCTGTAGAAGAGACCTGGAAAGTATCCCCACCCTTCAAAGAGGCCATGACTCCAAGACTGACTTGGGGAGGTGCCTGGGCATGTACAATTAGCACTCCCACACACATACACTTGATTGCAACAAACTAAACCCTAAAAAGTCCTCTGAGTCAAAAAGATACTGCCTTTGATTACACAGTGTTTGCCATGCTGCACTGGACATCAATTACTACCCTTGCCAAATCACAACAATTCCCATTAGGAATAGAGAAATAATCATGTGAAAAACAAAATGGAGACATGTGTGTAGAAAAAACAGAACCTTGTCCTGTGAATTATTTTGTTCCCATGAAGAATGTCCCACCCAATCTGGGGTAAAAATTTGCAAAGGCTTCAATAATAGAATACAAGGGTTTTTTATATTTTGTTCTGTTGCCCACTCTCTCGCGCGTCCTGGTGCTCTCTGTGTTCTGTCAGGAATGGTACTGACACCTGCATGGAATTTTAGTCGCTTTGGTGCACAATTTCTCGACCTGGGATGGAGACTCTGCTTCTAAAGGTTGACCACGAGACCGAAGCTTGAATTTAGGCTGACTTAACCACTCACCGCTGTCAATGCTTGAATTTGGCTAAGCGCGGGGATGCTGCGTGGGACCCGGCTGACACCCACGAGAGCCTCTCTTTGTCCCCAGCAATTCCGGTGTTCCGTTGTGAGTCAGTTTTACAATGTGCTGTTTCCGTTGTCAGAAAATTAGAATCTTCCTCACTTGCCTGACTCACAGCTGTGTTGGTTCCTCTGCATCCCCTGAACCCATAAAATTAAAGTAATAAAAAAAACGACGCGTTAAACTAAAAACACCTACTAGCCTACAAGTGTAAAAAAAAAAAAAAAAAATTGTATTCTATTATTGAGGGTGACAATGGGATCGTCTCGGCGACGCACAAATGGTGCCTGCGTCAGTGAGTGAACAAAAGATGCGGATTCCACCCGATTCTAGTCCCAGGAATTATCCCATATTTACGAATTTTCGTTGCTTTATTCAACGAAAAAACACGAGGTAAACGGATGACTTATGCAAAGCTGACAAAAAAGGATGAAGAAGAAGAGGAGACAGACAAGACAGTCCATTGCATGCAGGAATTAGTACGAAGAAGAAGAAGAAGAAGAAGAATAAGAAGACCCAGCATGGATTTCATGGTAGCAACAACAATGAATTTCACTGATTGTCAAGCTTTGCTCATGAATTATCAATCCCTCTAAACCCCCACTGCTACTAATTCTTGGCAAACCCTAAACCTCTCACAGCGACTGGACTAGACTAGACTGGACGGGGCTGGGCCGGGCCTGGGCGGTGCTGACTGGACTGCCTTAGGCTGACTGGACTGGGCTGACTGGACCCCGCAATTCTTGGAGTGAACTCACTCCAAGAATTCATACTTGGTGGTTGGCTTTGGGGGTCTAGAACCAAACAAACCCTAATATCACGAAAATGGTTCAATGAATCCCATTTTCTTATTTGTGAAAGTGTTGTTGTTGTTGTTGTTGTTTGTTGTTGTTTTTTTTTTTTTTTTTTTTTTTTTTTTTGTATCCTCATTTAGATACATTAATAAATGAAACCTTTTGGCCAACAGAATTTAGTTGTGTGCGTAGAAGTGTGGATTTAGGCAACAGAAAGTCCAAATTCAATGTAGCCATTTCACTTTTTTCTTTTTGGCCTTGTGTAAGTAGTGAGTTTTAAGATTTTTAATGGTGGGTTTTTTTAAAAACCCCTTTTTTTTTTAAATTTTTGTTTGGTTTTTTAAAGGTTTTTTTTTTTTTTTTTTTTTTTTTTTTTTTTTAATATAATTGACTCTAAAATACTATGATATTTTCAAAAAGTATAAATTATCTACTTTTAAATTATTATTTTAATCAATTTGATTATACTATGACAAATCTAAGTATAAGTGGTGGTTTATGAACCTTAGTGGATAATGATAGAAATTGCAATAGCAATAAATTGTAAAAAATAAAAAAATAAAAAAATAAAATGAAAGTATAACATAATGCTTCAATTATCTTCTTTATTCATTGAGTTTATTTATTTAATTATTTCTTTCTTAATAATTTTTAAATATTATAAAGACTTATAGAAGCAATACTTCTTCATTGTCATAATAACAAATGAACTCTATTTTTGTACATTTGAAAAAGGCTTTTCTATACATATGGTTGTGAAATTGCTTGAAATTTCTTAATTTTACATTACACAAATCA